ATTTCCTCTCCATTTTTTTATGATCTCTCCTTCTGGAGCACTTCTCGGTCATAAACTGATTCTTTATAATCTTTTCTCTGATTTCTGTTACTTTTTTTCCCCCCATGTTCTATTTTATTTTCCAACCCTACTATTAAAGTTATTTTGATAATCACATATTTAGTATTCAAGAACTTATTGACCGTTGCTTTATATATGCATGTATGCTATGGCCTATTTTTATACTATCCCTTGTGATTCTTCTTTAACTCATTGTTTATTTAGGAGTACGTTGTTTAAGATTCACAGATTTGTGGATTTTCCAAATTTCCTTCTGTTGTTGATTTCTAATTTAATTCCATTGTGGTGGAAGAGCATGCTTTGTATGATTTCAGTGCTTTTAAACTGATCGAGACTTGTTTTGTGACCTAGGAAATGGTCCTGAATATGCATTCTGCAGTTGTTGATGGCGTGTTCTGTAGATGTCAGTTAGGTCTGGGTGGTTGTTGGTTTGTTCAGGCCTGCTATATCTATGTGGATTTCCCATCTCACTTGATCTATCCATTATTGAGAGTGGAAGTCTACAACCGTTATTTTTTAATTTGTTTTTTCCTTTAGTTCTCGGTTTTTGCTCTGTGTATATTTTGGGGCTCTAATGTTAGATGCATATGTTTATAATTGTTTTATTTTTGTAATGAATTGACCCTTTTATTATAAAATTCACTGTGCTAGTAGCACTTTCTTACAGTCTGTTTTGTCTGATATTAACATAGATGCTCCAGCTTTTTTTGGCTTTTGTTTGCATGGTATGTATTTTTTTCCATCCTTTTGTCTTAAACCTATTTGTATCTTGGAATCTGAAGTATGCCCCTCCCCAAATTTGGGCTCCTGGGGGGTTCATAGAGGACCCCTAGAGTCAGGCCACCACAAGCCCTGGGGAGAGGCAAAGACCCTAGAGGACACCCCAGCCCCCCTTACTGTGACTCCTCACACTCAGAATGACCTGTGGGGTGGGGAGCCCTGGGACGTTTTTAAACCTAAAGTTTGGAGTCTGCACTAAGTTCCATCCACATCACTCACAAGTTTCTGTTTGTATTTCTAGCTTTTTTAAATTAAAAAAAAATAATTAAAAAAAAAACCCAGAAAACTGGTTTTCACAGCCCAGGGGCCTGGTATGCCGGTCTGTGCCCGCCTGCCCTGCCCTGGCCCGCTGGCCCCATTCCCTGGGCAGTCACACCCAGTAACCCCTTCACCAACAGACCAGGTCACACACACAGCAGCAGTCACTGTAACAGACTGCCACGTACACACTCGGTCTCACACTCACCTGTGAGTTTTTGGTTCCGTTCAGTTTGGATTTTTAACTTTACAGGGTCAGTTGTGCTTCACCCCTCCTTTTGTATGGAGTTGCAACCGGGGGATTTCACCTCTGCTCCAGTCCTGAGGCCTCCTAACCCTGATGTTGTGATATACCCCACAGAGATCTATGTTTCTTATATTATTATTATTGATAATAGTTATTATAATAATATTATGTAATAAATTTATAAGAAATTTTTTTTAAATTATGTCTGTTGTAGGGCGCCGGGGTGCTCAGTTGTTAGGCCTCTGACTCTTGATTTCAGCTCAGGTCATGATCTCGGTGGTGAGAACATGGGGCTCTGCCCTGAAAGGGGAGTTTGCTGGAGATTCCCTCTTTCCCTCTCCCTCTGCCGCCCCACCCCCACTCCAGTTGCTCACACCATCTTTCTCTCTAAAATAAATAAATCTCAAAAAAAATGTATGTCTATTGTAGACAGTATAAAGTTGAATCATAGTTTCTGCCTTTTGATTGGAGGGTTTATCAATTAATAATGTAATTAATGATATGGTTAGATTTACACCATTTTGCTTTCCATATTCATCATGTCTTTTTTGTTCCTCCTTTTCTGCCCAGCCCCGCCCCAAAATTTGCTTTTTCTACAACTCTTATTATTGATATGATAAACATTCTAGGATAATGTTCTAGTTTTCTTATCTTTTCTATTTTCTCTTTGCTTTTTTGGGGAGATTTTCTCAACTTTATTTTCTCACCTTCTGTTGAGTTTGGGTTTTTTTCCTGCGGCTATACTTTGAATTTCTAAGATTTTTTGGTGGTGTTCTCAGAATATTTTGTTTTATGGCAATCCTGTTTTCATTTCATAGTTTGGTATCTTATTTATTTCTCCTGAGAGTATTCTTTACAGTTTGAAAATGGTGGTGTGGCTTTTTTTCTTCTCCCTATGTAGCTTATATTTCTTTCTTTTTTTTTTTTTTTTTAAGATTTTATTTATTTATTCATGAGAGACAGAGAGAGAGGCAGAGGCAGAGAGAGAAATAGGCTCCCCACGGAGCAGGGAGCCTGATGCGGGACTTGATCCCAGGACCCTGGGATCATGACCTGAGCCGAAGGCAGATGCTTAACCGACTGAGCCACCCAGGCGTCCCTCTTTTTTTTTACTTTTAAAGATTTATTTATTTACAGAAGAGAGAGAGTGTGCGTGCACGAGTGCGAGTGGGGGGGGGGAGAGGGAGAGGGAATCTCCAGCAGACTCACTGCTGAGCTGGGAGCCCTATGCAGAGCTCAGTGCGGGGGTCAGTCTCACGACCCTGAGACCACAACCTGAACCTACATCAAGAGTCAGATGTGTAACTGACTGAGCCACCAGGTACCCCTCTTTTTTTTTTTAAGTGTCTTGTTTGCTTTAGTCTCTTTTACTTTATAAGCTTTTCTCAGCAGTCTGTTGATCTTGATTATCTCTTTATATTTAAGAGAGGTAGAAAAAAGCTCTGAGTGGAATTATGGGCTATGAGTTTCACTGCAGGGTCATCTGCCTGGTCTGTTTCACTGATAATTCTTTAATGTCAGTATCTTTAGACCTGATTTCCTAGAGGAAGCTCCTTCATTCTGCTTCCGGGAATGTGTAATAGGGTTGGCTACCAAAGTTCTGGAAGCCAAATAGATGATGAGGGCTTAGACTAAGTTCTGAGAATTTGGCATGCATAGACATTCATTTCATTATTGTACTCCTACCCTTACCTGTACCTCAGGTCTCCCAAACCAGTGTCTGGTTCTGTTTTATACCTTCTAGAGACTAAACTTCCAGTATTCTGCTGGGAATGGAAGGGGTGACCACTTGAGTGCTCAGAATATAGGAGAAAATATGTTGGTATGATGATTTCTTGAAATACTTTAAATCACCCTGAGTACCAATTTTTTAACCTTCTCGAATTCTGCAGTATATATCAGGTTGGCTCTAGGTCAGTGCTGTCTGATAGGATTTCCTGTGATAATGGAAATGTTTTATATCTGCACGGTCTAATACAGTAGCATCTAGACATGTGGCTGTTGAGTACTTAAGCATAACTGACCTCGACTTTAATTTTAATTTATTTAAATTGAAATAGCCATATGTGGCTGTGGTTACCTTATTGGACAACACAATTCTAGACCTTTCCCATCATTGGCTCAGGATTCAGCATTCTCAGGGGAGTTTCAATTTTCTCCGCCCAAACCTTGCTTTGTTTTTGTTTGTTTTCTCTCCCATCAGGCCTGTCCTGACGGGTTTGTGTTTTTAAAAATATACATACATCTTTACTATAGTTTTGTAGGATCTTGGGAAGGAGCAAAAGTTGATACAAATGTTGACTCAGTGTCATCTTTACTTAGATATTTATCATACAAAATGGTTTCAAAGATCTTGACTGTTCTAATTCCTGTGTTTGGAATATACTCTAATTAAACTGTGCTGTCCAATTCTTTATTTCTTCATTCTAGGAATTCTGATTTTATTAACGCATCCTATCTATGATCTCTAATCTTTATTTTTTACATCCATATCAACATTTTGATATGAGTTTTACTTGCATATGAAAATCTCTAGGTTCTTTTTGTTTTAGTTGTCCAGTTTTAATTTTTTATCTCCTTAGCTTATAAAATTCATGGCTTATACTACCATGCTATGACTTCCATAGACACTTAAATACTTAGTATCTTACTGACAAGTAAAAATTATTACCTCAGATTATACATTTCCCAAATTCCTAATGTGGGGTCTATGTCTCCTTTTTAACTATATTTTTTCCTGATTAACAAATAATAAAATTAGAGAGATTTTGAAAAAGAGAAAAACACTAAGAAAAAAAATCTCCTATAATACTGGTACCTACAACATAACTATTATTAACATTTTAAGGTACACCTTTCTCTTTACCGCTCCCCATCCCCTGTGTGCAATCTATGTATTTCCCTCTTCCCTTCAGCACTCACAAATAGTCAGTGAAAGCTATTTTTTAAAACTCCCTTTTTGCATAATAGTACATTGAATTTTTTTAACATTGGGGGTTTTTTTAATGCTGAAAAGAACAAAGTATAAAGTACGTTTTTTTTTTTACTTTGTTTCCTTTGACCTTTAGTATTCATTCAGCTAAAAAAGTTGAACACTCATTATGTGTTATATGCTATGCTGAGCAATACAGATGCAAGCTTGCTTAAGATAAAATTCATCCCCTTGGTACTGGACTGGAGTTCATATTTTGGCTATAAATTAGAACAAGGTCAGTTTCTTCAGTAAATAAATTCCCTTGGATAGAGTTTAAAATTGGCAGAATTTAGAGAATTCCACTCAGAATTGTAATCTGTTCTAGAAAGCGATGTTGTGGCATGATTTCAACCTATTCAAGAATATGTTAAAGATATAATACATCATTAAAATAGTTAATTTTCTCTATACTTGCCAAGTCAGTTCTTTAGAGCTTCATAAAGCATAAAAGTCTTGGGAGTTCAAATATAAAGAAATATTTTTTAGTAGTTAAAAAAATTGAATTTCAGCTTTATGGAGGTATAATTGACAAAATTGTAAAAGTGTACATCATGGTGATTTGGTAAACATACACACAGTGAAAGAATTTCCACTAATTAACACAGCCATGATCTCACATACTTATTTTCTGGTGAGAACATTTAAGTTCTGTTCTAAAAATATTTTGTTTTTGTTTCCTAGGTTAAGAGCAGGATTATGTGATCGCTGTGCAGTAACTGAAGAGCACATGCGGAAAAAACAGCAAGAGTTTGAAAATATCCGGCAGCAGAATCTTAAACTTATCACAGAGCTTAGTGAGTTTCCTTTCTTCATTTGTTAAGTGTTTAAAGCATAATGTACTGTTGATAAAACCTATTATTAAAGTGGTTGCAATCAAATGGATTGTTTACATACATTTTTCCTCATGTAGGCAAAAGTTCAAATGTCCTTTATTCCCTTTCTGTAGATTTAACTTCATACTTATTTTAGTAAGAAATAGGATACAAAAAGGTGGATGTCCACCACTGGCCCTCAAATCCCACCAGCTGTAAAGCAAGAAGGAAATTTCCTTTGATTATGTCCATATTTGCTTCTTTCGTTTATGTAACTTCGTAATTTTTATTTCATGTAATGTAACTAGTATTTAGTAAAGTTAAATACAAAGAATACAATTTAGTGTTCTACAAAATTATATACTTTCTTTGGTTTTCATGACATACTATTACAAGTATACCATTTTCAGTTGAGTCTCCTTACACATTTAATGTTGGGTTTTCTTTCATTCTTAACCTTCTCTTAACCTTCGTTTCTTCTAATACCTCTCAACCTTATTCTCTTTTAACTCTTCATATACTCTCTTAGTGACCTTTACCTTGATTCTCTATAAACAGCTCACATCCAAGATCTAATTAATTTATCTTCTTTTCCAAACTAAGTCCATCTTCTGACTATTTTTTTTTTCTGTTATATTGCTATCCTCTGGTTACTCAAGCAAGAAAAAATGAGTATATCCTCATTGTTTCAAAAAGAGAAAGAATATAGTTTTATTTTGCTCCTGGGGATAATTACTTTGGCAATCTGATAATGCAACTTTCCAGGTCCAGGCTTATCTTTCTGTCTCTTTCCTTTGTTTTATCCCTTCTCTCTCTTCTCTCTCTCTCTCTTTTTTTTTTAAGATTTTATTTTTAAGTAATTTCTACACCCAACAGGGGACTTGAACTCACAGATTTTATTTTTAAGTAATTTCTACACCCAACAGGGGACTTGAACTCACAACCCCGCGATCAAGCATCACATGCTCCACTGACTGAGCCAGCCAGGTGCCCTCTCCTCTTCTCTTCTCTTTTAAATTTAATGGGATCATACCATACTTTTTTTTTTTTTTTTAAGATTTTATTTATTTATTTGACAGAGGAATAGAGAGCACAAGGAGGGAGAGGGAGAAGCAGGCTCTCCACCAAGCAGGGAGCTGGACGTGGGGCTCAATCCCAGGACCCCAGGATCATGACCTGAGCCGAAGGCAGCCGCTTAATTGACTAAGCCCCCAGGCGCCCCCATACCATACTTCTTGTTCTGACATGTGTTATTTTATTTTAGGCTATGTCTTAATTAAGTCTGTAGTTTCTGTGTGTATGTGTGAATGTATGTATATGTTTATTTAGGAATATAAGAACATTATCAGTGAGTAGAAAACTATTACATCTCAGTAAACATAGTTGAGATCTACAATTATATTGTTAGTATAGAAATAATCTCCAGTATTGTCTGCATACCTAATAGTCAAATTTCCAGCAACTTTGGCTATCTAAAAAATAGCCAAAATCTTCAAAGGAATAAGACATTGTTCTTTTTCATGGCTGCATTATATTCTCTAGTGTAGATGTCATTTAGCCATTCTGCTGTTGATGGACAGCTTGATTTTTGGTGGGGGGAGGTGTTTGAGAACATGCATTCCTCTACATCTTCTTCAGCTTTGAGCAAAAATGTGTTAATAATACCCAATCTGATTGATAAAGAAGGATACCTTTTTTAAGTTAGCATTCTCTTTATAACTATTCAGGTTAAGTTATTTTTTTACATGATCTTCAGTTTGCATTTCTTCTTGGGTGAACAGCTTGAATATCCTTTGCTTAATTTTCAGATAGATAAAATACCTCATGACTTCATGTTTAAAATGCAAGTTCAAGACTATAGATCTGTTGTTAACCTTTTCTCTAATAACATTTCTATCTCCTTCCACGCTGAGAAGCCTGGTTCTCAAAGACACAGGGATGATAGAATGAAAATATCCCCTAACTACTCATTTTTTAAATCTCAAAAGCACAGTAGTCTCAGAATTGCACCATTAGTAATACTACCAAGATGATTACTGTAAAGTTTTAAGAAAAGTAATTTTACATTAAAATGAGCAAAAGAAAAATTGCCAAGGTCAAATCCCCAAGTTATCATAAGAATAAAAACACCAGGGGCTTCATATATATGATTTTTTTCATGTTTCTGTTCACTGCTATTTTTTTCTTCCTGCCTTTTCTTTCTTTTATGTTTTTACTTTCCCAGTTATTGAATTTTGAGGATGTCTGTCTTTTTATTTCATTTTTATCTGATACTTTACTATTTTTTCTAATTCTTTATCTTTTTGATCAACCCTGAAAACAAATTTTTTTTAAGTAGGCTCTATGCCAACATGGGGCTCTCAAACTCATGACCCCAAGATCAGGAGTTGCTTGCTCTTTCAACTGAGCCAGCCAGGCGCCCTACAACTGTGAAATTTTACCATGCGTTCCTAAACTATAAAGTTAATTTCTTGACCATCTTCGAATAATACACAGACCTTAAAACACCTGAACTCTGCTTACATGCTGTTTATGCCTAGCACTTCATTTCCTTTTTCTTAACCTTCTAAGTTAGAAGCTTTTTAAAAACTTACTAAGACAGTTTTTTAAGACTTAACTACATGTTTTATCAGTTTCTTTGCTTTATTATTATTTTTTGCACCTCAGTTTCCTTCTGGGATTATTTTCCTTTATGAGATACATCCTTTAGAAGGTATTTGTTGTTTCTAAACTAGTTTTTATCCACAGATATTTTTATTTTACTTTTACTTTTCTAAGGCTATTTTGCAGGGTAACAATCGTTTTTCTCTGGCTCCTACTAAGATTTTTTTCCTTTGTTTTTGTTGTTCTATAGTTTTAATGAAGTTTTTTTCCAAAAAGATTCTGTTTAGTGTATATTATAAAAATCTGTGGAACCATATCTTTAATCATACCTGGAAAACTGTCAGCTACTAGCTTTTCAAATATTGTGTCTTCTCCATTCTCTGTTTTGGGATTCTGATAAGACCTCATCATTCTGTCCTTCATATCACTTGATAATCCCTTTCCTGTTTTCATCCTCTTGTTTCTCTCTGCTGCATTCTAAGTGATTTCTTCAGCTCTCTTGTCAGTATACTAAGTACTTCAGTAGTTCTCTTGTGCTGAGTTATTTTATTTCAGTAATAAATTTTTCATTCCTAAAAATTCTATTTGGTTCTTTTTCACATCTGCCTAGTCGTCTTTTTTTTTCTTCTTTTTTTTTAAGTAAACTCTATGCCCAGCGTGGGGCTCAAACTCAAGACCCCAAGATCAAGAGTCGCATTCTCTATTGACTGAGCCAGCCAGGCACCCCTTCTTTATTTTTTTTTTAATGAAATGTTTTTAAAAATGCAGAAAGGTAGGGAGAATAGTAAAGAAACCTCATACACATTGCATTTATCTTTTTTAAATCAGGAATAGTTCCCTTTCCTATCTTTTTCTTTCATGACATTGGCTTCCTTTTTTTTTTTTTTCTTAAGATTTATTTATTTGAGAGAGAGAGCACAAGTGAGAAAGAAAGCACGGGGAGGGGGGAGGGGCAGAAGAAGAGGGAGAAGCAGACAACCCACCGAGCAGGGAGCCCAATGCAGGGCTCCATCCCAGTACCCTGGGATCATGACCCAAGCCCAAGGCAGACACTTAACTGACTGAGCCACCCAGGCGCCCTCATGACATTGGCTTCTTGAAGTAGGGTCATTTTCCTAAGATTTTGCCACCTTCTGGATTTTTTTTTAACATTTTATCTTGTTCCTTTATTTCCTATAAAATAAATACTGGATCTGAAGGCTTGATTAGGTCTAGATTAAACATTTTTGACAGTAGTACTTCATAGCTAACACTGTCTACTTAATGTTGCATCGTATCAGGAGACCGATATTATCAGGTTATTCCACTTTTAAGGATTCTAAAATTGATCACTGGATTAAGGTGGTGGCCACATTTCTTTATTAGAGAGTTATATTTTCTCCGCCAAATAATCTGAGTGAGGGAATGGATATGTGTGATACTATTAAATCTTGGAAAAATGACAATTCTCTCTCAGTCTTTCTGTAATGATTTTCACATCTATTAGTGAGCCTTGCCTGAATTAATTATTTAGAGATTATAAAATGCTAAATTTTCATTTCTGTTCTTTCTTCATTTATTAGCTGCATTCTTCTGTAAACAGGATTTTACCCTTATCAGCTGGGACTGTTGGCTGCCTTGGAATATAGTTCCTACTAGAAAGGCATGGTACATCTTAATTTTCTCCCTTTAATTGCTAGTTTTCAGAGTAAGGTCTTCTGTAATAGTTACCTGAAGTGGTGACAGATAGGTGGTGTGTGTGTGTGTGTGTGTGTGTGTGTGAGATTCATTTTGTTTTTGATGAAAGTGGGGCTTTCTTTTTTTGAGTATAATAGACCCATAAGATTTTATATATTCAAGGTGTGTTACTTAGTTATGTTCATTATTCTTATTGATGCTCAAATTATTTCAATCTTGTCTGCCTACCCATTTTTTGTAATCACTTCTAGTGTATTCATTTTGGGCATTCCATCTTTTAAATCTTTAAACATTTCATTACTATATAAGATATTTCTGTTATCTGAAATACTTGGGAATCCATATAGGGGTAATTTTCTGCTGACTCTAGTGGTAAGGATGAGGTTTACTTTGGCTCCTTTCCAGGAGTTTGGGCTTAAACTGGAAATCTCAGATTCAGTCCCTCCACCAGGGCTATGATACCAGCATCTGCTTACCTACACTGCTCCAGTTTTAGCTCACAGTTTTATTTTGCTTTTGTTGATAATTGTGGTGGTGGTGTGGGAATCCCTTGGATTTCTCTTCCTGTGAGCTCAGCAGTTTAGTAAAAATTATGTGTTTATGCAGGTTCTAGTTGTTTTATCATAAGATTATTGTTAGGATATCTAATTCATTCATCTACCCTCAAGTGTTTACTTAGTCCAAGAAGGTTTTTTCTGTTTTGTTATTGTTGTTGTTGTTTAGTGTCCCTCTCCATTCTCTCTATTTCTTCTCTGGAACTCAGATTAACAAGATGCCAGGTCCTCCCATTCTGTCTAATTTTTCTTTATACTTTGTAACTTTATTCTTTTATGCTGAATTCTGGGAGTCACTTAAACGTATTCTGTCTCATTCACATTTAGTCTGTTTTCATCCCATTTATTATGCTTTTAATGATTATGACCTTTGTTTCTTTCATGGCCACCTGTTGCTTGTTTGTTTTGCTTTTGTTTTTTTAAGATTTTATTTATTTGACAGAGAGAGACACAGCGAGAGAAGGAACACAAGCAGGGGGAGTGGGAGAGGGAGAAGCAGGCTTCCCGCTGAGCAGGGAGCCTGATGTGGGGCTCGATCCCAGGACCCTGGGATCACGACCTGAGCCAAAGGCAGACGCTTAACGACTGAGCCACCCAGGCACCCCTTCGTGTTGCTTGTTTTTAATGAACCTATCAGCCTTTGAAATCTGAAGATGTTATCAGATATCTTTTGTTTCCTGTATTAAAACTACTTAACCAGAGGTTAATTTTTTTATTACTAGTTTTTAATTTTTTCTTTTTTCTTTTTCTTTTTATTTTTTAAAGATTTTATTTATTTATTTGAGAGAGAGAAAGAGCACAAGAGGGGGGAGCGGGAGAGGGAGAAGCAGACTCCCCGCCGAGCAGGGAGCCCGATGCAGGACTCGATCCTGGGACTCCAGGATCATGACCTGAGCCGAAGGCAGTCACCCAACCAACCGAGCCACCCAGGCGCCCCTAATTTTTTCTTTTTTAAATATTTATTTATTTTACAGAGAGAGAGCGGGGTGGGGGCAGAGGAAGAGGGGAGAGAGAATCTCAAGCAGACTCTGGGCTGAGCACAGAGCCCCACACAGGGCTCGATCCCACGACCCTGAGATCATGACCTGAGCTGAAACCAAGAGTCAGATGCTCAACTGACTGAGCCACCCAAGAGCCCCAGTTTTTTTCTTTTTAAAAAATCTTGTGTTTTTTGGGCGCCTGGGTGGCTCAGTTGGTTGAGCGACTGCCTTCAGCTCAGGTCATGATCCTGGAGTCCCTGGATCGAGTCCCGCATCGGGCTCCCTGCTCAGCAGGGGGTCTGCTTCTCCCTCTGACTCTCTTCCCTCTCGTGCTCTCTGTCTCTCAAATAAATAAATAAAATCTTTAAAAAAAAAAAAAAAATCTTGTTTTTTAAGTCTTTTATGTGTTTGTTGACTCTTAATTATCTATAATTGTAGATGTCTCTAAATTGATACTTTTGTTAAATGCAACCTTATTTCTTTAGCTCGAGGAAGAATCCCTGCTTTGCTGATAGTGAATGCAGGTTCTGATTTACAGGAGCCCTACTTCAATGGCAGAAGGTGGGAGAGAAGGAAACTTGACCTGAGAGATTTTTTGTAAGGTGTATGGATAGTTTGTCTTCAGGCACTTCTGGGAGTGCCTTCTCTAGTGATTACTGTAAGTTAATTGAGAGCAGCACTGCCTGATCTCCTTGTCTCGGTATTTATTAATGGACTCCAGTGTTAAAACTTCTGGAAATCTATTCTCATGACTTTAGCCTAAGGGCAGCTATTAGCTTTATTTGCTCATTCAGCAACTTCTGGAATTCTGCCTGTACCGGAATTAACATGATGTTCTGCTGGAAAAGCTCACTTTTTTTTTAAGGCCCCTTCTTTGGTTAGATTTTACCATCAGTCTGAGCCTATCTATTTTTAAACCGTTTGTGAGTTTTTCATGGTTCTGATCTGCTAATGGTACCCATTCTGGCTTTTCAGTATTGCAGTTAACTTATTTTTAGAGTTGCTTTTTGTCATTTCATTGGGATTTGGAGAGGAAGAGTCAGGTGAAACCATCTTCATTAGTGATTTAAGGTCATCTTTGACTTCTTTCACCTGTACAGGGGATGAATTGCCAAATAACTAGATTCTGCCTCTATAACAGCTCCTCTGCCTGTCCTCACTTCCTATTTCTGTACCCTACACATTAGTCCAGGTACTCATTTCTTAATTTTAACGATCACCTGACTTGTCAGTGCTTTTTTTTCTCACTTTGGAATAGGCTTAGTTTTTCTCACTGTGGTATCAATCTTCCCATCATTCATCTATGAAAAATGACACCTGGTAATCTTTTAAAACGAAGGTCAGATTTCTTAACCTGGTTTTGAAGGCTTCCTACCTCTTATTATACCCAATCTTTCTTTCTAACTTTGTTCCATTAATTCTCTGCATAGAACTCTCCATTCAGGGGGCACCTGGGTGACTCAGTCGGTTAAGCGTCCCACTCTTCATTTCAACTCAGGTCATGATCTCAGGGTCATGAGATGGAGCCCCATGTCAGGCTCCATGCTCAGCAGGGAATCTGCTTGAGATTCTCTCCCTCTGCCCCTCCCCTCCACTCACACACTCTCTCTTTCAAATAAATAAATAAATCTTAGAAAAAAACAAAAACAAAACCTCTCTGTCCGCTTCATTTGTCCTCTCTTCAATGAATCCTTTCCTCATCATCTCAAGAGCCCAAAGTAACCTTTTTCTCCTTGAATTTCCTTTAGTTCTGTACCTCTGTAATTCCCTTCTCACTTTCAATTGTATAGAACATGTTTAGGTAATATCTGGTCTCTCATTAGGCTGCACTTTTTTTTAGATCACTGTCCCTATCTTAATTTTTTTAAGATCCTCCATAGGAGGTAGTTTAGCAACTTCACATATTATAGATAGCCAAAAAAATTTTATTTACTCAATGAAGGAAAATATGTTTAGATTTATAAACCATTAAATTATTAACAAATCTTTAGAATATGATTGACTTTCTTTAATAGAGATTAGTCATTTACTGTGATCTCTTAGATATTCCTCCTAGTGAAGTACATGCTTAACCAGTGACATCATACTAACAATTTATAATAATTTTGTGCTGACTGAAGTAGAAATTGTAGCCCAAAATTGAGTTTCTGATTTCTAAATTAAATAAACACAGACAGGAAAATTTAGTCAAGGTAGATTCAAACAAATACTATTTCAGTGGATATATTTAAATTACCGATACCATAATTATGAAACAGAGTATGACTAAGGAAGAAAATTTGACTTAAATGTGCTTATGTTATAAAAATTATACTGCTATTCAGTGTTATTTTACTTTTATTATCAGATTTATTTCAAGATAAAGGTCTTTTACTAAAATGGTATTTGAAATTAGTAGGACTGAGTAACAGATGGAATGCTCTCTTGACCTTAGTATGAATAATTAACTGTACTCCCCAGTATATGAGGTACTTTTTCTTTTTTGCCCACAAGCATAAAATAAAATTACCAGTTAATCAGTTACATGAACTGGCACAATATGTGATGTAGTAATCACTACCTAGTAACAGATTAGTCTTGCACAGTAGCATTAACTCTAACATTATGACTTAGAATTAGAAACCCTAATTTCTCCATAATTATTGATATTATTGAAAAAGCCTACCATACATGTTAACATATGTGTATTATTATACACATATAGGTATAATATGTATATTATTATACACATATAGGTATAATATGTGCTTCTTTTTCCTATTATATTTAAGTGAACGAAAAGAATACTCTCCAGGAAGAAAATAAAAAGCTTTCTGAACAGCTGCAGCAGAAAATTGAGTAAGTATCTTTCCTTAATTGCAACAGAAAATTGAATATTTTCCCTCAACTTCTCTTCCTTTATTACACTTAGCTATACAAATTGAGGATATTAAGAGTTGCACATTTCATTTTAAAAAATGGTAGTTTTCTGCAATAATATAAAGAAAATTATTTTGTGTTTTGGGAGTATACATGAAGAGTGTATATGTATCTGTTAGGTTAATGTATACATAAAGAAAAATTTTAATGTAAAACATTTTAATTTCTATAATTATTTATTTGAAATATTTATATTTTATTTTTTTAAAGATTGATTTATTTGAGAAAAAGAGCATGAGCAGGGGGCGGGGATTTGCGGGGAGCCCAAAGTGGGGCCCAATCTCACGACCCTGAGACCATGACCTGAGCCAAAACCAAGAGTCAGATACTCAACCGACTGAGGCACCCAGGCGCCCCTGAAATACTTATTTTTTTTTTTTTTTAAAGATTTTATTTATTTATTTGACAGAGAAAGACACAGCGAGAGAGGGAACACAAGCAGGGGGAGTGGGAGAGGGAGAAGCAGGCTCCCCGCCGAGCAGGGAGCCCGATGCGGGACTCGATCCAGGGACTCCAGGATCATGACCTGAGCCGAAGGCAGTCGCTTAACCAACTGAGCCACCCAGGCGCCCTGAAATACTTATATTTTAAATAAATATTTGAGTTTTGTTACCTTTTCAGCCCTGACCCAAAAGCTTCATAAAAGCAATCTGAGTAAGTTTTTCCTCTTACACACTTTTCAGGCCTGAAGAACTTCTTCCTTTTTCTGTTCCTCTCCCCCCCCATTTCTCTTAAAGAATAAAAATAATAGGGGCACCTGGGTGGCTCAGTCGGTTAAGCGTCTGCCTTCGGCTCAAGTCATGATCCCAGGGTCCTGGGATCGAGCCCTGAATCGGGTTCCCTGCTCGGCCGGGAGCCTGCTTCTCCCTCTCCCTGTGCCCTCCCCACCCCCCCCAGCTTGTGATCTCTCTCTCTCTCTGTCAAATAAATAAATAAAATCTTTAAAAATAATAATAACTTGTGTTCTATATACCTGTTACTCTTCTTTGTGCATTATGTTTATTATATCTAATCCTCACTATGACTCTTCAAGGTAGTTTTTATTACCTCTGCTTTTATAAACAAGGAAGCCAGAGTTCACAAAAGTCAAATAACATGCTATCGTCTCACAGCTAGTAGGGTAATAAGTTTGTAACTCCGACCCCTATCTTTTGATTTAAAGGCCTCTGTTTTTTCCATTATTCAACAGTATCTCAAAAAAAAGAATCTGTTTTTCTGGATATGGTCTGACTGTCACAGAGCTATGGCCAGTTCTTAGTTCCCTTTATATAAAGCTTATGAAATATTTTTTTAAGAGTTAGGATTCAGGATAGTCTTAATGGTGTTATAGGGCTCTTAAAGATTCTATTGCATTTGAGTGGACATCTACAAAAACTTTGGTAAACTATGCAGGTGTGACACATTATTATGGCTTAGAATAGTTATTGTCTTATGCATAAACACATCTTACAGGTGGAATTAAGATCCTTAATGGAATATACTTTTAAGTAGTGTCTATCCAATAGGATTTTGATATTCCTTCCATGTTATCAGTCCACTAAATATTAGCAAAGGAAATTTTGAGGGGGGGGTAATAGATGAGGAAAGCAGTCTATAGGATCAGACTGAGATTATCAAACATTCACGTATGAAAATGTCAACACTTTCCAGTTTTACTCCTGTTGCATGTTGAGGTAAGGCTAGAACATACATCCACAATCTCTTATATATGATTCTAAAACCCAAAAGTTGTTTTTTTTTTTAAATGGTATTCACAACCTAACCTCACCTCAACTCACAGGATGCTATTTATATGGTCCTTATCGATCCCATCTCATGTGAGCATTCCTGTGCTTTGCTGTAAAGATGGCAATGTGCTTGACTACAGGATGATGCCTCGGGCTCCACTGGGGCTATTATGTAATAAGCTGTATATGCTCCGTGTTACCCTTCATGTTAAAAAAAAAATCTGAATTCCGAATCACATCCGGTTCCAGAGATTTCAGATAAGTGATTGTTGTGTTTTGTAAAGTGATTTACATGTAGCCTATGGTATTCTGAACACCTCAGCCTTGATATTTATGAATACCAAAGATAAACAAGATAATGAGCATGTAGAGGTTAATACAGAATTAGAGAGGTGAATGCCTCCAAAGCAAGGCACATAAAAGGAATAGAAACTGGATAATGTCATTTGCTTGGTGAAATATGAATTCGAGTTCATTCAAACTAATTCTAGTTTATTTTTAGTGTTCTAGAAGTCACAGTTTTTTCTGTTAAAGCTCACTGGTATTTTAGAAAAGAAATAAAAGCTAAAGTTTGAAATTACAATAAAGATTAACCATATAGATGTGCTTGAAAATATGCATCTTTTATTTCAGACGTGTCTGACTCAAAACAGTGTAGGGGCTTATCTAGTGTGCCTTGAAGTTCTCTTCTGAAATTTAAGATAGTTGTTCTCATAAGCCAACCTCTTTTGTAGCTTGCTCTCCTTAAACAAATTTACTTTTGCTTGGCAGTTTAAAAAAATGGCAAGTATTATCTTTTCTTTGACTACCCAAACCACTGTAACATTATGCTATTAGTCCCTGAAATTCCTCTGAACTTTAGAAAAAACATTTGACTTATACCTCTGCTTGTTAAATGCAATAATTCTGACCTCAGCTGGTTTTGATGTTACAGATAACTTATATGGTAGGACAGTTATTTAGTGACACTATAGTAAGAAATGAATTCAGAAAAAATTTGCTGTTATAAAGTTTTTTAAAAATGTGTGTGTGTATACATACACATTTATTCAACTCTACCAGTCACAGAAAGCAGTAAGCTAAGTGTTGAGGTCATGGCTCTTTCTGTTTTGGGAAATGGATGTACTGGATCAGTGAAGGTCAAAGCACTCAAGGACTGTAAGATTAATTTCATTTTCACTCTTTTCCAAACTGAATTCCTTATATAACTTCTTTACTAGCCATTGTTTGAACACTTCTACTATAAATTTAATCTCTCAAGCCTGTTTAATTTTAGTGAGATATTATTAGAAAGTTCTTTCTAAGTTTGTGTAGAAATCAGTCTATTTAGAGGTTATTTGTTGATTCTGATTTTGCCAACTGGGAGCATCTGGGACAAGTTCTATCCCCTCTTCTACTTCGCATTCATGAAGACAATTGTCAGGGCCCTCCTGAGTCTTACTCTTCCTTAGGGAAATTATCCTCTGTTCTTTAACTGTTCCTCAGGAGGCATTTCTTCAAGACTTCAAAGGACCATTTCTCTTTAATGTTTTAGTTTGTCAATATCCTAATTAAGAACTCAGTATTCTAGGGGCACCTCCTGGGTGGCTCAGTCGGTTAAGCATCCATCTCTTGATTTCGGCTCAGGTCATGATCTCAGGGTCCTGAGATCGAGCCCCATGTTGGGCTCCGCACTCAGCAGAGAGTCTGCTTGAGATTCTTTCTCTCCCTCTGTGCCTCCTCACCACACACGCACTTGAGCACACATGTGCACTCTCTCTTAAAAAAAAAAAAACAACTCTGTATTCTAGGTGTGGTCTGACCAATAGGGCAATCATGCCCTCTCCATTTTTCTGTATCTTTTTACTTATATTAATGTGGTCACAGCACATAAATATTACTGGTTGTTCCTTATTGGGCTTACTGTGACTAGAACCTTGAAGTCAGAGTCTTTCCTATCCTCTACTTGTAGATATGTTGTTTTAGATAAAAATACAGGACTTCAGAGTCATGGCTTCATAGTAGGTTGTTGAAGAAACCTTATACCATTTAGCCTGCTCCTTCATTTTAAAAGAAGAACACTATTGATTAAATACTATTTTCTGGGCATTGGACTATATCTTTACATATATTACTTCCTTTTCACAGCTTTCCTACCAAAAAGGAAGTGGGAAATTACAGTACCATACTTTATAGATATGGTAACTAAGGTTCAGAAAGGTTAACTGACTTACCCAATGTGACTGATAAGTGTCAGACCAAACATTTGAACCCAGGTCTACCTCACTTCACAGTTTGTATACCCTTTCTTGTAGTTCTGTGCTAAAGCATCTTCAAAAGTTTACCTGCCTGTGTAGATGGCAGAGCTTGGATTCTCTCTCTTCTGATTCAGTTCAGTGAGGCTTATAATCTCTCATTTAACCTGTTGTATTTTGTTTTGTTAGATTTTGGCCCATTATTCCAACCCCTGGGGGTCTTTCATATGTTGATTTTTTCCTGCCATGTATTAGGTTAGCTTTTATTCTCAGCTTTATGTCTTCCACAAATTTGATGTGGAATCAATTTTGATTGATTCCATCAATCATTAATAAAATGTTGAGCAAAATCAGACTGAGGATGGAGCCTTGAGGCATACTACTACATATTTCTTTCATTATCATTCTCCAGGAGATGATACCAAGAGATATCGCATGCCTTCCTGAGAGAGCTACATATACAATAAAACATTCCTCAGAATTAAAAGTAGTCTTACTTGAATTATTCATATTATAAACTTATACTGGTTCTAAGAGATCACTAGTTTGTATTTTAGGGATCTTTTCCCTTTTTTTGGATATCAGAATGTTTAAGTAAACTTGATAGCTATAACTGCTCATTGAGTTTAAACTATGTTTTAACTAAGTTCTTTAGAGAAGAAAAGCTGAATGTTAAAAACTTTTTTGTAGATTCTTTACAGAGGGAGACCCTGAATCTTTATAGGTCTTGAGAAAAAACAACTAAAGTTGTTTTGAAAGGAATTTAAGGGAAGGCCAACAAATAAAACACAAAAAAATTTTACCCTTTTGCTGGTAGAAAAGTAGAAGAAAGTTGACCAGTGTGCATAATTAACTAAAGCTACAGCATGAACTTTTAATGTTTCTCAAAAATCAGGGAGACCCAATGCTTTATAGAAGAGACTTGGTTAATACATAGAAGTTGTTTTGGGTTTTTTTTTCCCCTTTTATGACAAAAGCCAATACTTGTTTACTTAGTTTAGACACCTCTAATTAGATCTAGAGGTTTGGGGGGTTTTGTTTTTGTTTTCTTTTTGTGATCCCCACTACTTATAGATTGACTCTTCCAGGAATTCAATTTCTTGTGACTCATTCATGTTCCAGTCATGAATTTTCATGACTAATAGGCAGATAGCCTGTGACGTTATTAGTTAAAGCAAGGTCAGATAGATTTCACACTCCATTAATTTATAAGGCTTTCTCATATGACCTTAGCTTACTTTGTTTTTACAGAATAAGACAGTTAAAAGTAGATATTAGCTCTAAAGATTTTCCTCAGTATAGAATATAGGATTATAGACTACAAGTAAATTGATATTATCTAGGAAATTAAGATATAAATCTGTTAGGAAAAATTAATCTTGTAATTTTTTTTAAATCTCTGTTGGTCACAGTTTATAAAATTCTCATTGCTTTTTGTTTGGAAATAGTATTACAGACTGATAATGAGTATAATAGATAGACTGGTTTTATCACATAAAGCCTTAAATGCCTGACAGACTGGTAAGAATTGGCCAATAAGGTCAGTAATCATTTCACATGGGTAAGTCAATTGAGTTCAAGTTAATTAACTATTTACTCGATAACCACAATTCAGTCCAAACCCAGTCTTTAGGTGCCATTGGTCTTGAATTGAGTTGGGCTCGATCTCTCCGCACTCTGCTGAGTACGGAGCCCAACATGGGGCTCGATCTCAGGACCCTGAAAAATCACCTGAAAAATATCACCTGAAATCAGCACAAATTTATTTTTCTAATGGAATCTGGGAATCTCTCATATTCATTCATTCAACAAATATTTATTGAGCATGTACCAAGTGCCTACTATTGTAGACACTTGATGCATCAATCAACCAAAGATTCTTTATCCTCCTAGAGCTTACATTCTGGCAGGTGAGCAATAGACAATTATATTCTGTGTTTGAAAGCCATAAATACTGTAGATAAAGTAAACAGAGCAGAATAACAAGGAACAGGAGGACCTAAGGTATGGGAAGTAGGTTACAATCTTTTTTTTTTTTTTTTTAAGATTTTATGTATTTTAGAGCATGAGGAAGGGAGAGGGGCAGAGGGAGAGAATCTCAAGCTGTGCTGAGCACAGAGCCAACGTGGGGCTCAGTCTCACAACCCTGAGATCATAACCTGAGCCAAAACCAAGAGTCCAGTGCTCAACCAACTGAGCCACCCAGGCACTCCAGGAGGTTACAGTTTTAAATAGCATGTTCAAGGTAGGCACTGATGAGAAAGTAAAACTTCAGCAAGGACTTGAAGGAAATGAGATAGCTAAGTGATATCTGGGGGTGAGCATTCCAAGCAGATGGAAGAGCAAGGAACCTAAGGTGGGCTTCCTTGAGGAAGCAAGGGTGAGTGGAGTAGAATATAATAAAAAAATAGATCAGAGAGGTAATAGGGGGAGGGGGACAATTAGATCATTTAAAAGACTTTGGCTTGTGTTTTCAGTGAAAGGGGAGATATGGCAGGTTTTAATCAGAGGAGTGACACAATATGACTAAAGTTTTAGTAGAACTTTTCTGACTATGTGTTAAGAGTAGATTGTAAGGGGCCTAGGTAGAAGCAGTGGTGGAAACTCAAAGTGTGAATCCTACTTGTAGTCAGTTATTAGTCTCAGGGTCTATACTAAGGATAACACATTGGGTGCTTCTCAGTACTGTCCTGGGAATCTGGCTGCCGGGATTTAGATCCTGCTTCTGTTACTTTATTTTTTAGAAAGTGACTTAACTTCCATATCTTCATTTTTTCATTTTTAAAATGAGAGTGATATTAATAGCACATACAGTTGTAATAATTAAACTGATGCATGTAGCACTTCGTGCCTAGCAATATAAACCTCCAACAAATGTTGTAGTTATCATTGTTAGTATTATTCATCACCCTGTATTTGTCATTTGCCAAGTCATGTTGATTCAACTATCACAGTATTTAACCTTGGCCCCTTCCTTTCCATAGCTATTTTCAACATTCTAATTCAAACCCACAGAAACTCTTGCCTGGACCATGGTAGCCACTGCCAAATTGATTCCTTGCCTCCTTTCTTTCTGTCCCAGTCCGTGTTGCAGTCTTGCTGCTCGATTGTCACATTACTTCCATGCTCTAAAACCTTAATTTACTCTTTTCCTCTTGTTTTCTAAATTATGCACACACTTAATCAAAGCTGTTGTTCATGTAGTTCCAGCTTGCCCTTCCCTAACACCAGGTGCAGAATATTGGATGCCTTTTATTCAAATGTGTGCATCCTCTGCTCATTTTTTCTGCCATTTGAAGTTCTTTTCATTTCACCTCAAGGTACCCCAACTACACTTTGTACTTCACTTCTCACAAGAGTATTCCCCACTTGGTACTCTAATCATTTGAATAATTCTCTAATTTTTGTATTAATTAAATGCAAGGAATTAGGGGCACCTGGGTGGCTCCGTTGTTAAGTGTCTGCCTTCAGCTCAGGTCATGATCCCAGGGCCCTGGAATTGAGCCCTGCAACGGGCTCCCTGCTCAGTAGGGAGCCTACTTCTCCCTCTCCCACTCCCCCTGCTTGTGTTCCCTCTCTTGCTGTCTCTCTCTCTGTCAAATAAGTAAATAAAATCTTTAAAAAAAAAATGCAAGGAATTACATCTTTTACAGCTTCATACCTGTGTTCTTTTGTAAGTCCATACTAGGGATGTTTTAATAAATATTTGTTGAATTAATTTTCTTTCATTTGTCATTATTTGCCTTAGAAATGATCAGCAGCACCAAGTGGCAGATCTTGACTCTGAGGAAAATGTTATTCCAGATTCACCAATAACAGCCTTTTCATTTTCTGGCATTAATCGGCTACGAAGAAAGGAGAACCTCCATGTCCGATACATAGAACAAACACATGCCAAACCGGAGCAGTCCGTGTGTACAAACGGTAAGGATTGGAGTTTTATTTTAGTTATCTGTTTTTGTATAAAAAAGTTTTCTGCCATGGTGAGTTTTTCTGTTCTTCCATCTAGTAGAAGGAAGATAACCATTGTTAGGGAACTTACGTCACAACTGTAAGTTTAACTTCCATTGTTGAGGTGACTGGGAAGGCATTTTCTGCCTATGTTGTGTATAGGCATGCATTACTTATCTGAATATGTAAATGCCCAGCATTTTATAAATGTAGTTTATAGGTTTTTCTCCTTTTATTTAAAAAATATGCCTATGTCTATATCTGAGTGGAATTAGAAGGAAAAAGGGAAAGGAACTTAATGTTAATTTTCACCTGTTGTGTGCCAGGTAATACACTGAGTGATTCGAGTACATTATTACCAAATTTTAATTCTTCTGACAGTCTTGGAAGGTAGCTGTCAGTATCTTCATTTTATAATGAAGAAAGGTTTTGCTCTTTGGAGGGGTTAAATAACTGACTCAGGGTCACCTGTCAAGTAAGTAGATGAGTCAGAATTCTAATACAGATCACCCTGGAGCTAAATTTTTATACTTTCCATGTCTTACCACAGCTACTCCTACCAGTAGCTTTAACTGGCTGTTTTTGTTATAACTTGTAGCAATTGATGATAACCAAGAAATGGCTTTCTAAAGTATCTACTTTGTGGCTTATCAGTGGCATATTTCTACTTCCAAGCCCACTTACCATTTCTGCTAAATACTTTGGAACTGCCTTTGCATATAGCCCTGAAATTTATCATGTGATGTGATACAATGATTATTTCTTTTAATATTGATATGAAATAAATGGTAAAGACTTTCATTTTTAACCTAAATTGTTTGTAACAAGGAAAGCATTTGGAGGGAAGGGGTGTGCATATTTCTAGAGATAATTTAATAATATAAATAAACTGTTGATAGTAGCTATGCCTTTAAAATAATAAGTAGATCTTATTCTTTGATACTGGAAAATTAGCACTTTTTTTTTTCCATTTTATATGAGCTTGCATCACCCTCTAGTGGAAAACAAAAGAACTGTTATAAATCTTACATTTAATTAGGAACGAAAGTAAAATGCAAGATCTTCAATCTAAAATGAACTTTCTTTGGCCTTTTAGTCTGCTATCTGACAGAATCACTACAGATAAGCCTCTACATATTGGATCATGTTTAAATCTATCTGTCAGAATACCTAAAAAAATCACAGCAGTTTTCTTTATAAGGAAAGTCTTTTTTTATATCTTGTATAACTGTTTCTGGTTTATTTCTTCATCATATGAGAATAACCTGTAACTGTTTTAAAACTTAATTTGTCTGTTTTAGTCTTGCTCGGATCATTTTTACTTGGAATCTAAAATTTTGGTTATAAAATATAAGATCGTTTTTGAGCCATGCAAATTATTTTAAAACATTTAAGGACTACTTGGTCTTCTTCCCTTTCTAACTACCCTTGCTTATTTTAAAGTTTAGAGTGCATTATAATATTTTCTAGTTATAATTAATAAAAGTCTATTTCCCTTTACTTTGTCCTTCTTTTGGTTTTCTTTAAATAAAATCCTTAAACATTGGAATGGTTTCTAGTAAAGCATGTTTGGTATTTCCTTCCAGAAAATAAAAACTCTAAAAACAAAGATTGTTGAGATATATGATGCGGTATTCATTTTAAATGAGCCTACTGATTTGCAACAAATACACAAGGAAAAGAGGTGTTAAAATATTAGAACTCTAGGGTACTTAGGTCAGAAGAAGCTTATCTGTTCTAGTCCTTTCTCTCCCACAGTCTTAACTTCCAGCTTTGTCTCTTAGTGAAACTAAAAGAATGAACTTCTAGAATATGAAAATTTTATCAGTAAAATAACACTTCTAATGCACTTAAAGACAAGTTTGTATTGGTTTATTACGTATTTTAGTATTTTGTATCATAATTGTTTATTTATATTTAATCTCTTTTCTCCCCTTAGAACTGAGAAAAGTTCCAAAGTCTTCAAATCATCCACAACATAAACCTAATGGAAGTGAAATTCTAGTGGCTGACACTTGTGATCAGAGTCAATCCCCAGTGGCTAGTAAGCAACATACTTAGATTTCCTTTATAAGTTTAAAATTTGTGGTTACTGGTGGGCAAGAGTGGCCAACAGTCTGAATTAGGCAGTATTTTCCATATGATTTTGTTTGTATTATTGGTAAATAGCAGTCTTTTTCATATTGGAAAGTCATGTTATCCTATTATTAATTCATAGTAACATCCCTATCCATATTAATACACATTGCTAATTATTTTAAGTAAACAAGCCTTCCTGTGCTTTATTCATTCATCCAACAAATACTTGAGTGCCTACTGTATACCAGGCACTGAACAAAACAAAGCCCTTAACCTCATAGAGCTTACAATCTAGTTGAGGGAGAAAGAAAATAAATACACATTAGGTAGAAGCAAGTGTTCTAAAGAATAATGCTGGGTAAGAAGAATATTAGAGGGCTCCTGGGTGGCTCAGTCGGTTAAGGATCCCAGGGTCCTGGGATTGAGTCCCGCATTGGGCTCCCTGCTCAGCTTCTCCCTCCACCCTTCCTCCCTGCTCATGATCTCTCTCTCACTCGCTCTCTCTCTCAAATAAATAAAATCTTTTTTTTTTTTTTTAAAGATTTTATTTATTTGACAGAGAGAGACACAGCGAGAGAGGGAACACAAGCAGGGGGAGTGGGAGAAGGAGAAGCGGACTTCCCTCCGAGCAGGGAGCCCGATGCGGGGCTCGATCCCAGGACCCTGGGATCATGACCTGAGCCAAAGACAGACACTTAACGACTGAGCCACCCAGGCGCCCCTCAAATAAATAAAACCTTTAAAAAAGAGAGAGAGAGAGATACTAGAAAGCCTCACTTTAGAAAGTGACACTTGAGGAGAGATGTAAGGAAGCAAGGGAGTCATGTGGATATGGGGGAAGGGACACCCCAGGTAGAGAAGTCAGAGCACAAAGGCCTTGGGACCAGGGTGTTGTCTGGTTCTTTATGAGGAACATTAAGGAAGCCTCTGTGGCTAGGGCCGAGTGAGTGAAGAGGGGATTGGTTTGGGCAACTCTGTTCTTTAGAGCTGCTGTTTACTAAGAGGAAAGAGACTAGGAGCGTCAGGTTTACAGAGTGGGAGGTGGGGATAGGGGTGGTTAGAAATCAGAAGTTTGGTTTTGAGAATATTCTGAGATGCTACATAGACATTCAAATAAGATTTTGGATGAGTAATTGGATGTGTTTAGAGAGGTCTAAGATAGAGATATGAATGGAAATTGTTAGCATGTAGGTGGTATTAAAGCCAGAAAACTAGATGAGACTACCAAGCAAGTGAATGTAGAGAGAGAAGAGAAGAAGTTCAAGTACTTAGCTCTGGGGTGCTTCATTATATAAAATAGTGATTCTCAGCCCTTTTTCTTACCCCCACCCTAGCCTTTGTAGACATTTTTTTCCCTAACCACTTTTCCATGGAATTTCACTACTACAGATATACTGTATGAGTGTATGTATATAAGTGCTTTATCCATAAAAAGACTGTTTTGCCTTCAGAACCATTTTTCACCTCCTTAAAGGTGGTATTACAGCTGTCTAGATGGTGATTTAGAGGTTGTGAAAATGAGGAGGAACCAACAAAGTGAGCTGCCAGTGAGATAGGGGCACCTGGGTGGCTCAGTTGGTTAAGCGTCCAACTCTTGATTTCGGCTTAGGTCATGATCTTGGGGTCTTGGGATCGAGCCCCTCATCAGGCTTTGTGCTCAGCAAGGAGTCTGCTTCTCTCCTTCTCCCTCTCCCTCTCCCTCTGTTTTCTGTTTCTGTCTCTCTCAAATAAATAAATACATCTTTAAAAAAAAAAAAAGAACTGAGATAAAGTAGTGTCCTTTAAGCCATGTGGAGAGAGGAGGGAGTGGTCAACTGTGGCAGACAGTGCTGATAGGTCAGGGAAGATGAAGACTGAAAATTGACTGTTGGATTTGGTCACATGCAGATCATTGAGTGTTAAAATTCGTAACACGAATTGTTAAAAGTGTAATGGTATTCAGTTAGACTGTTGCATGTCAAGAGAAGCTAGCAGAGTAAGCAGAGAGAATACTTGTGAACAGGTACTTCAAGGTGTTTTATGGTAGAGGGGACGGGAGAATGGGACAGTAGCTAGAAAGTGGGTCAAGTGAGGATGTTAAAAGATAGGATATTATAGCATATGCAGCATATTTTTAAAATTTATTTATTTGAGAGACAGAGAGCAAGCTGGGGGGTGGGAGAAGGAGCAGAGGGAGAGGGACAAGCAGACTCCACTCAGCGAGGGGCCAGACACAGGGCTCGATCCCAGGACTCTGAGATCATGACCTGAGCTGAAACCAAGAGGTGGACGGTCAACCAGCTGAGCCACCCAGGCACCCCTGCACAGCATATTTTTATGTTGGTGGAATGGTCAAGTACAAAGAGAGAAATGAATAATTCTAAGGAAAGAGAGGGAACAGTTACTACATCCGTGAAAAGGTGAGAGGAGATGAGATGCAGAGCCCAGTTGAAAGGGTTGGTCAAGGTTAATCACATTCATTTAATGTGAGTACAAAACTTATGCTCTAAAAGCTAACAAGTCATTTCATAGTTGTGTGTGAGACAGAGAGTATGTGTACATGTGTATAGACAGACTGTCTGGCAAAGGGTCCTGGGGACATAACACTGAGTGTGGCAGATCCTTATTTGTCTACACTATGGAGCCCTTTCTCGTCTGCTGCTGCCAGGACTTTGCTCCCTCAGTTGTCCTCCTTTCTTATATCTCCACCTTCTCTGCATGTTTGTTCTTTTCAATATATGCATATGTTACCTTCTATCTTTTAAAAATAACCTCTCTCTCTCTCTTTTTTTTTAAGATTTTATTTATTTGACAGAGCGTGAGAAGGAACACAAGCAGGGGGAGTGGGAGAGGGAGAAGCAGGCTTCCCGCTGAGCAGGGAGCCCGATGCGGGGCTTGATCCCAGGACCCCAGGATCATGACCTAAGGCTGAAGGCAGCCGCTTAATGACTGAGCCACCCAGGCGCCCCAAAATAACCCCTCTCTTAATTGTCTCCATCCTTAGCTACAGCTTCTGTTCAAAGCTGAAAAAGTGGTCTGTGTTCAGTAGCTCTTCTGTATTATCTCCCATTCATTCCAGTTGAATCCAGTAGGGGAAGAATTCCACTCTTCACCTCTTCACACCCCAGCGAGAGAAAGAGAGAGTGAGAGATCCCTCACTGGCCTATCTGGGCTTATGTCCTACTATAGTTACATCTTTTGCATTTTGATTTCCAGCAATTCACGTATCTGAACCCTTACACATACTTAGAGTCCTTCCCTCTGTCCCTGGGCCCAGGTGACCTGTCCAGGTCCTCTTGTTCTCAAGGGGTCAGCTTAGGCATCACTTGCTATAGCTTTCCCTGATAACCCAAGGCAGATTTAGGAGTTTTTCCTTTATGTTTAAATCACTCCTTATGTACCTTTAATGTTTATCACATTTTATTGCAATTCTCTTTTTTACCTTTCTGTTTCACCTGTATCAGCCCTTAAACTCTTTGAGGACAAGAACCTTTTTTTCTTTTCATCTAGTGCCTAGCACAATGCCTCAAACATAATATGCGCCCCATAAATACCTGTTGATTTGTTGAAACTCTGTACACATAAAACTTTGTAAAATACTTGAACACAGGTGATTTCTGTATAAATATGTTTTAGCTTTAATCTTGAAAATTATGCAGTGTTGAAAATCTCCTCCACAAAGTATGTTTTCATGAAAGATACTATAAATATGGTTTTATATTCATGCCATATCTTAAACTACAAGAAATCCATCACAATTACATATGATTTTTTAGGGTTTTTTTCAGTGTCAATAAGAAAAATAATCTGCCCATTGCATTCCATTCATTTAGGAAAAATAGAAAATCTTAGCTGAAAAAATTTGGCAAATGTAAATGCTAGATACCTGCAATTTATTGCCATTTATGATAGATATTTTGGACTTTTTTGCACAGAATTTTTAAATTGTCCAGTGCCATCTATAAAGTGGTTCTTTGAGCCTCTTTTTTTCCTTTTTTGTGTTTTTCAATACATCTCATTTCTGCAATTATATAATTGTGGGTTTTTTTTTTTCTTATTTAGAAACACATGGAACAAGCAATTGTCCTACTGATAAGTCATCTTTTAATTTAGCTACAGTTGTTGCTGAAACACTTGGATTTAGTGTTCAAGAAGAATCTGTAAGTAATTGTTTAGTTTGGTGATAATATGAATTAATTGGTATCCTTTTAGGTCGGTTTTTAGAGAATTGAGCAAGAGAAAAGTTATTTTATCCAAGGATCAAGGGATAAAGGCCTAGAACAAAATTGATATGGTTAGAAAGGCCCATTTATATTATCTGTCCCAGCATCCCAAAAACCTGGAGTCTTCAGAATTCTTCGTATTATAGGCTGTGGGTTGAATCAAAATTTAGGGAAGTGATGGTGGCCTGGAGGGTTTGGCCAACCCTTCCCTGCTTCCTGTATCCTCCCTACCCCTACCTTGTTTTGTCTTACTGAAGACTTAAACCTTAAGGTTGGTGTCAGAATTTATTGGAATTTTTCAGTAGCTAAACTGGAGTTTGTTTTGGAAAACAGGCTGAATTCTTGGGACTGCTGTAGATGCTTTAGTTTTTTGTCCTTATATGTGCAATCTCATTCTTAGGGATTGGGTCAGAAATTGATCCCATGAATTTCTTTTCATTTTTTTAGTACTTCCTTACATCAGGCACATTCACTTTTTTTCCTTAAGTGATCCCTAAAAATAGAAAACTTACTCTTCAATTTTAAGTTTTATTTTGATGCAACTTTAAAATAGTATTCCTTTGCTTTAGTCAGTAAATGTATATTTGCTCTTATAAAATTGTCTTACTGTTAAATTCTTAAAAATTGAATTGATTTTTCATTACATTTGGATTTTGTTTTTGTTCTTTCTAGTTTTAAATCACTCTTCAAGTGGTAGTGGGTAGTTTTTAACCTTTGAACTTCAAATGTGTTTTAATGGTTTCTAATTCTCTCCTACCCATAAACCTGACAAGTAAGTAGTTTATATATTAAATATATTAAGGGAGCTGATCTCTAAAGACGTGCTGCTCAAGGTGTGATCCATAGGCCAACGGCATCTGCGTCACCTTAAAGTTTTGTTAGAGAATCTCAGACCCCACTCCAGACCTACTACAAGAGAACTTGTGTTTTCACAAGATCCCCGGTTGACTTGAATGCATGTTAAAGTTTGAGAAGCATTGCTCTCTAAAGGATTCTTTTAAATTCATTTCCTATCAGCATAAATAATTATCTTTATTCCTTTTGCCTCATCTTAATGTGTTTTGGAATTGGAGTTGATGGAGTTTTACATACCAGTAATAGAATGTACTTATGTAGAATAGTAAAATATTGATGGCTTTCTCTCTTTAAACTTAAAAGTACTTCATATTTTTTTTGTGTGGTGAAATGCACATAACATAAAGTTAACCATTTTAAAGTCTACAGGTCATGGCATTTAATACATTTACAGTATTATGCAGCTACCACTGCTCTGGTTCCAAAGCATTCTCATCACCCCAAAATAAAACCGGTACCTGTTTAACATCCAATCCTCATTCCTCACTACCCACAGCCCCTGGCAACCACCAGTCTGCTCTTTGTCCTTAAAGATCTACCTATTCTGGATAATTCATATAAATGGAATCCTACATTATGTGGCTTTTGACAAAGTCTGGCTTCTTTCACGTAGTCTTTTTTGGGGTTCATCCACATCACAGAATATATCAACATTTCATTCCTCTTTAAGAATGAATAATCTTCCATTGTATCTATGTACTTTATATTTTACTACTGAAGGAATCTCAGGGTCCCATGAGCCCTCTTGGTGATGAACTCTATCAGTGTCTAGAAGATCACAAGAAACAACCTTTTGAGGAATCTGTAAGAAACAGTGAAGACAGTTTAAGGTAATTTGGGGCACTTTGGTAAAAAACTTAGACTATTGGTGAGATCTCATTACAGTGAGTTCTATATAATCAAACTGTTTCTGTCAGCATATAGTTTGTCATTCTGGTTGTATTTATTTATTTATTTAATTTGTTTATATATATATAAGCTTCGATGGATTTTCAAGATTGTGTTGCATCTCATTTACTAATTTCAGAACATCCACTAATAATATATATATATATATATATATATATATATATAAGCGGGCTCCATGCCCAACGTGGGGCTTAAACTCAGGACCCTGAGATCAAGAGTTGTGTGCTCTACCAACTGAGCCAGCCAGGAACCTGTATTAATTTTTATTTTAAAAAATATCTTTCCCATGAGGTGCTTGGGTAGCGAAATCAGTTAAGCATCCTACTCTTGATTTCAGCTCATATCATGATCTCAGGGTCATGGGATTGAGCCCCAAGTCAGGCTCCATGCTCAGAAGGAGTCTGCTGGAGATTCTCTCTCTCTCTCTCTCTCTCTCAAATAAATAAATATATAAGTCTTTTAAAAATACATGTGTTCCCCACTTTATGATGAATTGAGGGCCTTTTGCATTACTATGGAGAGATATTATTTTTTAGGTTCTTTCTGTACTTCTATCAAGCATTATTTAAGAGTTTCCAGCCTTGTTCCTCTGCTTCTATAAAGACCCAGTCATCCCTTCTGTGTTTGTATTTCCAAAAACTAGATGTTATATAAAATGCATCTATAAGCTTCGATGAATTTTCAAGATTGTGTTGCATCTCATTTACTAATTTCAGAACATCCACTAATAATACCTATATTTATGTATTGTCTTGCTTTTTAAAAGTGCTTTTGGTTTTAGATGCATTTATCATCTTTAATTTGTCATCAAAGTAATTCATTAAAGTAGGTTTTATTACTCCTATTTAGTCGACAAAAATGCGGCTCTACAGAGATTAAATGCCTTATTTAACACCACATAGCTCTTAAGGACTAGAGCCGGAGCTCTTACCTATTCCACATCTTCAAACTTAAACCTAACGCTCTTTCTACTATCACAGCTGTCTGCTCTGCTGCAGGCAGGCTGGCTCTTAAGTTATGTTCAGTTCTGTAGTAGAAGGATTTTGTTTCTTGAAGTTACTTATGAAGAGATTTCATATTAACAAAAGAATATGGGTCTCCAGTGGAATTTATTAAAATACGATTTTCTTATATAGTGAAGTTGTTTAAATTACTTAGGAAAAATATTTATGGATAGGAATATCAAGGTATTGAGATAGATTTACGGTATCATTTTCCTCTGCTTTTTGTCAGCCAAATGAAGAAAAGCTGACAACTCTACCCTATTTCAAATGTTGGTTAATCATCTGAATCTAATACATGGCTAAGACCCTTACTATTAATAATTCTATATTAGTTTAAGTTTTCTCATATGCTTGTCTTATAATTTTTACCCTATTTCTTTAGTAGGAAGAAAGTTTTACCACTCCTTGTTTTTTTTAGATTTTCAGATTCTAAGGCAAAGACTCCTCCTCAAGAAGAATTGACTACTCGGGTATCTTCTCCTGTATTTGGGGCTACCTCTAATGTGAAACGTAGTTTAGGTTTGAATACAAGTTTGTCCCCTTCTCTCTTAGAGACTGGGAAAAAACTTCTGAAAACAGCACCCTTCAACAACACTTCTACTTCTAGATCAGAGAAAACTAGATCAAAATCTGAAGATAGTGCCCTTTTCACACATAATCTTGGGTCTGAAGTGAACAAGATCATTAGCCAGTCATCTTCAAATAAGCAGATGCTTATCAATAAAAATATAAGTGAATCCAAAAATGAACAGGATGGTTTTGACCACATTAAAGATGCTGTCACTGATAAAGACAAACATGCAGTACCCCTGAAATCACTGGGAGGCAGAACATGCAAAAGAAAGAAAATTGAGGAAGAAAGTGAAGATGAAGTTAGCTGCCCCCAAGCCTCTTTTGATAAAGAAAATGCCTTTCCTTTTTTACTGGATGGTCATTCTTCTGTGAATGGAGATTATGTGATGGATAAACCTCTAGATCTGTCTGATCGATTTTCGGCTATTCAGCGTCAAGAGAAAAGCCAAGGAAGTGAGACCTCTAAAATCAGATTTAGGCAAGTGACTCTCTATGAGGCCTTGAAGCCCATTCCAAAGGGCTCTTCCTCAAGCCGCAAGGCCTTGAGCGGGAGCTGTGTGTTAACCAGAGATTCCCCAGAGGAGCCCTGTTTACAGGAGTGCATCCTCCAGTCCTTGGGTAAATCATCTCCAGATAATAAAACACCATTACAAATCAAGGAAGAAAATCCCATCTTTAAAATCCCTCTACGTCCACATGAAAGTTTGGAGACCAAGAATCTTTTCGATGATGTGAAGGTTTGTGTTAAATGTTCAAGTATTTTTATTAAAATCGTTGTTCATTATTTCATCTAGATGCTAATAATTCTTTCTATTTAAGGGAACTGATTCTCATGAGCCAGTAAAAATAGCCAGGTCAGTCCGTGGAGCATGTGAACTTACATCCGTTCTTCAGTTAAATCCATGTAGAGTTGCTAAAACAAAGTCTGTACAAAACAGTCAAGGTATGTTTACTATAAATAGTATTTCCACTCTTTTTAAATGATCTCGAGTGTTACACAATATACATTCTTTGGATATATTGAATTGTTTTAGGAAAAACATTTCTTCCTGCATATTTCTGTGCTTATGGGATGATTCTCACTGGTTTCATTTTGCATGTGATTTTCCTGCTCTCATGCTTTTTGAAAAAATGAATTGAGGTCTTTAATACCTACTTTTTAGGTGATTTTGTGGATTACCTATTTTATGTAATTTCTTATTTTCTTTGCAAAAGCTTTACAAATTTTAAACCATGTGGAGTTTTAAAATACATAAAGTAAAATTTTCATCATCCAAACCTTGTTCCTCACCCCACAGGTAGCCTGTCCTTTTTCTTTGCATTTACATATGTGTAAACATATGTATATGTACATTTATGTGGGTTTTTAACTTCTTGCTTGAAAACCTTTTTTACTCTTAATTAATAGGTATGTTAATCTTTTCATAATTTTGCTGTGTTTAAAATGAGTCTTTTTGTTTTTTGGCCACCAAATATTTCTGTACTTCCTATGTAGTATTTTTTCTTTTATTCTTTATTGCAAAGTTTTTCCTTTATTCTGGGTTTATTTTCCTTTTTTTCCTGAAGCACATTCTTTAGTGTTCTTCTGTGTTCTTCTAGAAGGAAAGAGTTTCAGTCTCTGTATGAAAACACTTTCTTCACTCTCATTTCTGATTTTTTTTACATTTTTGGTTTTGGGGTTTTTTTTCCTCATGGCTGCTCTAGGGATTATAAACCCTACCTAACCTTTCACAATTTACTTAAAGTTAATATTATGTCACTTTGTGTTCTGTGACTGTGCTTTATGTAGTTGTCATGCATGTGCACATACATTGAAAACTCCTTCAAACAATGTTACAGTTTTAACTTTCTTAAAACAATTTTTGATATAAAAATCACTCATTAAAGTGTACAAGTCAGTTGTTTTGTATACTCAGTTGTACAACCATTACTGTAGTCTGAGTTTAGAACATTTTTATCGCCTCAAAAAGAATAGTACCCATTAAGTTAATATCCAAAATATGTGAAGAACTTACACAACTCAATACCAAAAACACAAATAATTCAATTTAAGAATGGGTAGAGGACCTGAAGAGAAATTTTTTCAAAGAAGGCATATGGATTGCCAACACACATGAAAAGAGATTCCACATCACTAATCATCAGGGAAATAGAAATTAAAACCACAATGAGATGTCACTTTATACCTGTCAGAATGGCTGAAAGCAAAAACACAAGAAATAACAGATGTTGACAGATGTAGAGAAAAAGGAAGCCTCATGCACCATTGGTGGGAATGCAAATTGGTACCGCTACTGTGGAAAACAGTGTAGAGGTTCCTCAGAAAATCAAAAATAAAATTACCATATGATCCAATAATTCCACTACTGGGTATTTACCCAAAGGAAATGAAAATACTAATTCGAAAAGATACATGGACCCCTATGTTTATAGCAGCATTATTTACAGTAGCCAACATATGAAAGCAACCCAAGTGTCCATAGATAAATGAATGGATTTAAAAAAGATGTGGTTATGTATATACAGTGGAATATTACTCAGCCATAAAAAAGAATGAAATCTTGCCATTTTGCAACAACGCAGATGACCTAGAGGATATAATGCTAAGTGAAATAAGTCAGACAGAGAAAGACAGAAACCATATGATTTCACTTATATGTGGAATTTAAGAAACAAACAGAAGAGGCAAAACCAAAGCAGACTCTTAAGTACAGAGAACAAACTGATGGTTGCCAAGGGGGAGGTGGGGGGGTGGGAATGAGTGAAATAGATAAAGGGGATTAAGAGTATACTTTCTTGATTAGCACTGAGAAGTGTATAGAAATGTTGAATCATATTGTATATCTGAACCATATATAACACTGTAAATTATATTTGAGGAAAAAACTTTTTCTAAGTAAAGAACAATACCCATTAGCAATCATTCTGCATTCCTCTCCCCTCTTCCCCAGTTCTAGGCAACCACTAACCTACCCTCTGTCTCTGTAGATTTGCCTATTCTGGTGTTTTCATATAAATGGAATCATACAATATATGATATTTTGTGACTTCTTTTATTTTCACTTTTTTCACTATTATAAATAATGCTTGCTATGAACATTGATGTACAATTTTATGTAGATGTATGTTTTCATTTTTCTTGAGTTACATATAGGAGTAGAACTGTTGGACCATATGCTAACTCTCTTTAACCTTTTGAGGAACTATGTGTTTTCCAAAGTGTCTGTGTCATTTCACATTCTCACCAGCACGTGAGGTTCCCATTTCTCCACATTCTCACCAATACTTGTTGTTATCTGTCTTTTTGATTCTAGCCATCCTGTTGGGTGTGAAGTATTATCTCATTGTGGTTTTGATTTGCCTTTCCCTGATGGCTACTGCTGTTGAGCATCTTATCATGTGCTTATTGGCCAGTTCCCTTCTTTGAAGGACTGTCTATTCAGATTCTTTGATCATTTTCATTTGGGGTATTTGTCATCTTATTGAGTTGTGAGAGTTCTTTATATGTCCTAGATACAACCCTGTTAGCAGATAATGATTTGCAAATCTTTTTTCCCATTCTGTGGATCCCATAACGTTTTAAAGTAATAAGAATGTTTAAAATCCATTTTAATTGTACTTTTTTCTCCTTACTGAAGATGTATCCTTTGAAAATATCCAGTGGAGCATAGATCCAGGAGCAGACCTTTCTCAATATAAAATGGATATTACTGTAATAGATACAAAGGTAAGTTAGAAAGTAAAACCAAGGCCCATGTGGTTTTTCTAGTAAGTTGTTAGTCACCCTCCTCCCCTAACTTATTCTGTGACCTTAAGATAATCACATACCTCTTAAAACCTGATTTATTTATTCAGAAAAGAAATAAAAATGCTTATTTTTCTAACTTTATGATATTTTTGAAAGGGTAATAATACCTTCTGACTTTAAAGGCCTTAGCTGGGACACCTGGGGGGGGGGTCAGTCAATTAAGCGTCTGACTCTTGATTTCAGCTCAGGTCATGAGATCAAGCCCCACGTTGGGCTCTGCACTGGGTATGGAGCCTACTTAAGATTCTCTCTCTCCGGGGCGCCTGGGTGGCTCAGTCGGTTGAGCGTCTGCCTTCGGCTCAGGTCATGGTCCCAGGGTCCTGGGATCGAGCCCCACATCAGGCTACCTGCTCAGCAGGATGCCTGCCTCTCCCTCTCCCACTCCCCCTGCTTGTGTTCCCTCTCTCGCTGTGTCTCTCTCTGTCAAATAAATAAATAAAATCTTTAAAAAAAAAAAAAAAGACTCTCTCTCTCCCTTTCCCCCTACCCCTCCTCTTTCTTTCCCTCTCTAAAGAAAAAAATTTTAAAAAAGGCCTTTGCTGGAAAATATTATTATAGTTCTAAAATAATGAAAAATGCTAGTTACATATTTTAATAATTATATATATATATTTCTTAAAGATTAATTGAGAGAAAAAGAGCAAGCACGAGTCGGGGGAGAGAGGCAGAGGGACAAGCAGACTTCTCACTGAGCAGGGAGCTCGACGCAGGGCTGGATCCCAGGACTCTGGTATCATAACCTGAGCTGAAGGCAGACACTTAATTGACTGAGCCACGCAGGTGCCCCTTAATAATTTTATATTGTATCAAAATAATTCATCATATGCCTTGATTAACTTTAAAAATAATGTTACCATCAAGAAAAAAATTCATTTTCCTAGTTGGCTATTTTTTAAATACTGTGTATTTCTTTAAAAATTAAAATTCTGGGTGCCTGGGTGGCTCAGTCAGTTAAATGTCCAACTCTAGATTTTGGCTCTGGTCATGATCTCAGGGTCATGAGATCGAGCCCTGCATCCAGTGTGGAGCCTGCTTACGATTCTTTGTCTCCCTCTCCCTCTGCCTCTCCCTACCTCTTAAAAAAAATAATAAAATTAAATGAAAATTCCTAGTGGAAATAACTCTTTTGGCTTGTATTTAGGTTCTACATAGTTTGAGAAGTTCTCTTTCACTTGGGAGCATATCAATGAAGTATTTAACTTGTTATAGTATGAAATTTGTTGTGTGTACACGGACATTCATTACTGTGAGACCAACTGGAGAAGAAAGGGAGGAGAAGCCCAGGGAGTTCAGTAGTGCACAACTCTCCCTTCCTTGACATCAGTCTTTCTTTTCATGGGCTTGAGAGAGGATGCTTGTATATTGAAGCTAAAATGTTTTACAGGCAATAAAACCTAAATCTGTATATTCTTAAGGTAAAAATAAATATAACTTCATGCTACTGAAATGTATACTTAAAATATGGTAAAAATGACAAATTTCATGCTGTGTATATTTTACCAGAATTTTTAAAAAGTAATATATAAGGCCATGCGGGATAATTGTTAAAATTTTTGAATTTTTAAATATTTAGGATGGCAGTCAGTCAAGACTAGGAGGAGAGACAGTGGACATGGACTGCACATTGGTTAGTGAAACTGTGCTTTTAAAAATGAAGAAGCAGGAGCAGAAGGGAGAAAAAAGTCCAAGTAAGATTTGATTTCTTTTTTTTATTTAATAAAAATGTGGAAGGAAGTTTATAGTTATACCATTGCATTGATGACCATAAGTTACCTCTTCACCATAAACCAGGTATTTTTTTTCCTCTTCTGATAAATAGATTTCTCTCAGTAAAGCTCAGTTTCAGTATTTCAAGGGAAAAAAATCTTTAGCCAAAATCTTTTTTTTTCCAGGAAGAATTCAAATTGTTTCCAGGATTCAGCAAACCACAGCCAGCTGCCAGTTTTATAAATAAGGGTTTATTAGAACACAGCTTCACTTATTTGTTTATGTGTTGCCTATGGCTGCTTGCATGGTACCACAGCAGAGCTGAGTAGTAGCTGCAGACCTTATTGGGCCCACAGGCCAAAAATATTTCCTGACTGACCCTTTAAGAAAAAGTTTGCTGATCCCTGGTATTATCCCTAGATAATTTTTTGTAGAAGGGAATCTTGAGAGTCCTGTTTTAGAAATAGGAGTTTGCAAAGCAATTTGATAAGGTGAAAAGGGGAGAGTCTACTGAGAAGTATTTGTATAGGCTTGTAAATTAGCAGTAAACTAAGAATAATAGTGTATATGCTGAGTTACCCTGCCATATTCTGCTTCTACAGAAAAGGGGATTTGGCCTTTTGTGGTAACAGACTATTAATTCTTCATCTAAAGTCTTGATTTTCCAAAAGAGGCAGGAACAGTGGAAGGATTTTGGTTGGCACCACCTTAGCAACATCCCTAACTACAGAGGCATATGGCATGAGATCAACTAGCCCAGGAAAGTGTCACTTACACTCTTATGTTGAAGGATTAGGACCTGCCACAGGGTTGCAGAGCCAAAAGCAAGGACATTTTCTTTTTTATTTTTTTTTTAAAGATTTTATTTATTTATTTGATGGAGAGAGAATGAGAGAGAGCACATGAGAGGGGGGAGGGTCAGAGGGAGAAGCAGACTCCCTGCCGAGTAGGGAGCCCGATGCAGGACTCGATCCAGGGACTCCAGGATCATGACCTGAGCCGAAGGCAGTCGCTCAACCAACTGAGCCACCCAGGCACCCCATCCCTTTTTTTTTTTTTTTTAAGATTTTATTTATTTGACAGACACAGTGAGAGAGGGAATACAAGCAGGGAGAGTGGGAGAGGGAGAAGCAGGCTTCCCGCCGAGCAGGGAGCCCGATGCGGGACTCGATCCAGGGACTCCAGGATCATGACCTGAGCCGAAGGCAGTCGCTTAACCAGCTGAGCCACCCAGGCGCCCCAGCAAGGACATTTTCCAGTGATCATCTGTTAGAAACTGAAGACAGTCTATATGTACATTCCCTATCTTGTTCTGAATATTCTGTAATCTACCTGCCTGGGGCTGAAGCCAATCTTGTCCCCACTTCTTTTGAAACACTTTATCTCAGGATGCCTGGTGGCTCAGTCAATTAAGCGTCTGACTCTTGGTTTCAGCTCAGGTCATGATCTTAGGGTCATGGGATTGAGCCCCGCATGGGGCTTCCCTCCTCAGCGAGTAGCCTGCTTCCCCTCTCTCTCTCCCTTTGCCCCTCTCCCCGCTTGTGCACCCTCTCTCTCTCTTTGACTCTCTCTCTCCCAAATAAATCTTTTAAAAAAGAAAAAAAGAAACACTTTATCTCTTGCTGCCCTAACTGCAGTAAGTGAGGAAAAATTGTAGTAGTCTTTGCCTTAATTATTTGTTCTTTAAGAATGAGTAACCATACAATCAAGTAGCTGGCTGCCTACTTTGAAAGGCCTACCTATTAAAAGAAAAGACCTTAACAGTGATTTATTGTCCTTTTATAGTGAATGACACTTAAGTAATTTTCTTCTTAAGAAGGTACTTTGCTTTTAAGATTATGTCTGGTACCAGCTTCTGATAATGTTTTCCTTATTTCTGTTAAAGAAAAGGTAAAACTAAAGTATGACTACTTTGGCTTCAAATTTATCTAGTTAATTCAAAGAATATGATGGTTTCCCAAATATGTTTGAAGCAAGTATCATGTGGAAGTGAGGTTAGAATTTGAACTAATGAGTGGAGACAGTTTTGGCTACATAAGATATTTTGAGTACTATTGCTATTATAATAAACCACTCCAGTAACTTAAAGGATTAAAACAACAGTCATTTTCTTATCTTTCATAGTTTCTATGGTTCAGGAATTCAGGAAGAGTTTGGCTGGATGGTTCTGTCCGAGGGTCTCTTATGCAGTTGTAGGCAAATGGTAGCTAGAGCTGGAATAGCAGAGGGGTAGACAAGCTGAGGGTGGCTTGGCATTTCTCTTCATTTAGTTTCAGGGCTTCTCTACATGGACTTTCCACATGGGGTAATTTGAGCTTCCTCATCACATGGAGACTAGGTTCCCAGAGTCAGCATCCCAAAAAGAACAAGGCAGAAGTGCATGGTATTTTTATGATCTGGCCTCAGAAGTTGTATAGTGTCATGAAGACCTACCCAAGTTCAAAGCAAGCAAGCAGCCCTTCCCACTCAGTGGAGGAGTGTAAGACCAGCACCTAGGATAGGAGATATTCTTAAATCCATATGTGGAAAAAGATAGTCCCGTGCATTTTACCCATAAGGTAGATCTTTTTAATACTTAGAATTGGTTAAAAATGAATCATACCAATAAAATCCCCCAATGGCTGCTAATATTTCAGTTCAAAAATATGTTTTATATTTCTACTGTGTATTAGACTTCCCAGATGCTGTGATAGAAAGATTAATAAGGATATAGTCTCTGTTGTCAAGTATTTCAGTCAGAAGTCAGACCAAAAAAAAAAAAAAACAAACTAGTGGGGCACATGGGTGGCTCAGTTGGTTAAACGTCTGACTCTTAATTTTGGCTCAGGTCATGATCTCAGGATGGTGGGATTGAGCCCCACATTGGGCTCCATGCTGGGTGTGAAGTCTCCTTAAGATTCTCTCTCTCCCTCTCCCTCCTACTCCTCCCTTCCTGCTCACATTCTCTCTCTCTTTAAAAAAAAAAAAAATTTTTTTTAATTAAAAAGATAAACTAGTGATTTAACATTGTGAATTATTAACAGCATATACAGAATACTTTGGGAATACCTACCTAACACACTGCCTAGCACATAGAAATTGTATATTATTTACAAATTTGATCCTCAGTGTGAAAAAAAAAATGTTTAATCATTCAGTAAATATTGAGCTTCAATTCTATAAAGGGAAGTGTTTCAGGAACTGGAAATAATGAGTAAACAGAACAAAAGTACCTACTTCGTGGAACTTACCTTCTAATTTAAGGGGAGAAATAATCAAATATGTGGTATAATAGGTGATGCTAAGTTCTGGAGAAAGATAAAATAGGGTAAGGGTGCTAGAGCACCATGGATTGGGGGAGGTGGTGGTTATTTTATAGAGAGGAATCTGAGCAGGCTTCTGCTCTATCATGTGTGTTAGCCAACTGGATCTATTTCTGTTTTTTAGTAAACTGCCATTTTTCAAAATGTGATTATATAGTGGGAACTGTACTTAGTAATCTGAGGATGAATTTAGCACTTAACATATCAAATGAGGGGGCGCCTGGGTGGCTCAGTTGGTTAAGCGACTGCCTTCGGCTCAGGTCATGATCCTGGAGTCCCTGGATCGAGTCCCGCATCGGGCTCCCTGCTCAGCGGGGAGCCTGCTTCTCCCTCTGACCCTCCCCCCTCTCATGTGCTCTCTCTCTCTCATTCTCTCTGTCTCAAATAAATAAATAAAATCTTTAAAAAAAAAAAACATATCAAATGAGGAATTGAATTCATTATTTCTAGCACTACTCAACTACCAAGTGTTATTGATGATGTAATAAAATACTTTTTTTGCTACCACATTAGAAAAATAAGCAGATGAGCAAGTTCTATAGATTTTAATGTCAGTTATTTATACACATTTTATTTAAACTTAATATTTTTCATCATTCATTATGATGCATTTTCTATTCCTCACAGTTTTTTGGTAGGACTCGTTTTAGTGTAGTATGAATTATACATGAGCTAATAGGGAGAAAAAGATTTTTATGTATGTAATGACAACGACAAACATTCTCTTCACATGAATAAATGACATTTAAAGCCCTAACATAAAGTCTTTGTAAATATAGTAACTATCTAGACTTGGGCGTTTACTGTTGCCCCATGTACATCCTAGGCAAGTGTATTTTGTGGCGGTTACTACAAGTTTCACATTGGTCTATGTAGAAAGCAAAAAGCTTGTTGCCCTAAGCCAATGCTCTTTTACATAGATGGAGAAAGAAAAATGAATGATAGCTTGGAAGATATGTTTGATCGGACAACACATGAAGAATATGAATCCTGTTTGGCAGACAGCTTCCCCCAGGTGGCAGATGAAGAAGAGGGATTGTCAACTACCACAAAGAAACCAAACAGTAAGGCTTTTTTCTTTCTAATTATGGCTTCTCAGTTACACTTAGGTTCAGTAAATTAAGTCAACGAGCTAGTTAACAGAGACTTGATGGGATATATATTAATAATTAAAATTTCATATTTCTTGTATAAATTTCTTTTAGATAGTGAGATAATTTCAGACCAACAAAAGAGTTACAAAAAAATAGCTCAGAGGAAAAAAAAATAGTTCAGAGGATTCCCTGTACCTTTCTTTCAGCTTCCCCTTATATTAATATGACCATAAAATATTCATCAAAACTAAGAAATTAATCTTGATTGAATACTACAGATTTCTTTATAACTTGCGCATAAAATTCATAAAGTTTTGAGAACATTCTTTGTTAAGTAATAATCATTGTAATAGAGTTGGAAGGAGAAAGTTTTACAGAAAATTCAGACTAATTTTCTGTTTGAATGCTTTACCTTCCCAGACAAAATAATGTAATTATATGTATCTGTCTTTTTAAAATTCTTTTTTTTTTTTTTTAAGATTTTATTTATTTGCGAGAGAGAGAATGAGAGACAGAGAGCATGAGAGGGAGGAGGGTCAGAGGGAGAAGCAGACTCCCTGCTGCTGGGAGCCTGATGTGGGACTCGATCCCGGAACTCCAGGATCATGACCTGAGCCGAAGGCAGTCGCTTAACCAACTGAGCCACCCAGGCGCCCTAAAATTCTTTTTTTTTTTTTTAAGATTTTATTTATTTGACAGAGACACAGCAAGAGAGGGAACACAAGCAGAGGGGGTGGGAGAGGGAGAAGCAGGCTTCCCGCTGAGCAGGGAGCCTGATGCGGGGCTCGATCCCAGGATCCTGGACCATGACCTGGGCCGAAGGCAGACGCCTAACGACTGAGCCACCCAGGCACCCAGTCTTTTTAAAATTCTTGTCAGGGCGCCTGGGTGGCTCAGTCAGTTAAGTGTGCCTTTGGCTTGGGTCATGATCCCGGTGTCCTGGGACCAAGCCCCTCCTCAGCAGGGAGCCTGTTTCTCCCTTGCCCTCAGCCTCTGCCGCCCGCTCAGCTCTCTCTCGCTCTGTCTCTCAAAAAAATAAATAAAATTTAAAAAAAAAATTTTTTTTTAAAAACAATAAAATTCTTTTCATTAGAAGCAGGGTTTATAGGGCAGGATAGCATTCAAAAGAAGAATACTCTAAGTGAAACTCTTAACTAGATAATCTGAATTGAAAGTTAAAATTCTTGCAAAATGTCTCATTTTCTTTTTGTGAGTAAAAAAGGAATTTTTAGTCTAGTGAAAAGGTTATATATGAGCACACGTTCTGCTATGGAATAGTCTGTCTTGATTATGTTTTCCTCGTGTTCCCATTAGGTTTTAAAAAAAAATACAGCCCTGGGCGCCTTGGGTGGCTCAGTCATTAAGCGTCTGCCTTCAGCTCAGATCATGATCCCAGGGTCCTGGGATCGAGCCCCGCATCGGGCTCACTGCTCCGCGGGAAGCCTGCTTCTCCCTCTCCCACTCCCCCTGCTTGTGTTCCCTCTCTCACTGTGTCTCTCTCTGTCAAATAAATAAATAAAATCTTTTAAATAAATAAATAAAAAATACAGCCCTTTTTAGCTCAAAGTGAATGAGACCCTAACCCCAGGTACAGAACAGTAGGCTTTGCTTGCTCAGTCCATAGCAAAAACTTGATCCAAGCCAACTTTTGTGATAAAAATTTACAACTGTTCAGTTCACTTTTTTCTTCCAAGAAGAGCCTTTTGCTAATTGTTTTCACTTAAAAAGGCTGGGGGGATATTCTTTTACAAGATATAATTATTAATTTCTGTCCTTTTTTTTTTTTAAGTTACATCTCACACTGACCATCTCAAAATTTCTTCTCACTTCTCTTTTGTGGCAGTGCTGCACTGTTTGATCTCTGGAAACTTCTGCTTCCTAGAGTATCCCAAGACTGTTTTCTTCCTCACATATATTTTTCTCTCATGCTTCTATTAACTACCTCTGCGTCTCTAGTTTGTCTTCTCTGATGAATCCCAGTCCTGCATTTCTTTCAGGAAATGTAATGTAAATGCAAATGCTACTTTGTGTCTCTTCAGCAACTTAAACTTAACATATCCAAACCAGGTTCCATTTATTTCTTACCAAATGAGCTTTCAGGCTTTTTCATTTTTCCCAGTCATCTAGGCATATAGTTTAGGATTTTAATGTCCATTTATTTCATGTTCTTGACCCTCATATCACAAAGTTCTACCTAGTCTTTCTTCATAGGAAAGGACAAATTTCAGGGAGGATATCAAAAGCTTGGTTCTAGACATGTTAATACTTACTAGACATTCAATGGAAATGTTAGTAGGTAATTGCTATGTGTCGAGTTTGGACAAAGCAGCCAAAATAAAGAAATGATTAGGGGGCAGGAGGTCAACAGCAAGTAGATAATCATACTTAAGGCCATGAAACTGAGTGAGATCACCAAAGTATAGAAAAGGGAAGCATTTCAAGTTCTGACCTCTGGGGTATGGCAACTTTGAAAGGTTGGAGAAAGAAAGAGGAACCAGCAAAGGAAATTGAGAAGGAGGTAGAGCCGGTGAAGTAGGAGGGAAACAAGAGTATGTACTGTTTGTGGACACCAAGTGAAGATGTTTCTATATATTCATTACTCCTAGCCTTGTCCTCTCTCTTCTGAACCCCATACTATTCAAATCAGAAATCTTTATTTTCTACCCAAATTTGATCTCCCCCCCCCCCACCTTTCCTGGTCTCATTAAACCTCAGTAACTATCCTCCCAGTTACTAAAGATAGAAATGTGGGAGTCATATTTGACTTCTTCTTTTACCTCTTCATGCCCAGTCTGATACCCTGGCAATACTATCTCCAAAATATGTTTCATATCACTTCTCTCCATCCCTGTAGCCACTGCCCTAGTCTAAACCACTCTTCTCTCCACCTGTTCTACTACAGGCCTCCTGACTGGTCTTTTATGACAGTTGTTTCTCTCCAGTCTGTTCTCTCCAGAGACTCAAAACTCATTTATTTTAAATGTAAACTAGATTGTATTATCTTCTTATTTAAAAACCCTCAGTGAGGGGCACCTGGGTGGCTCAGTCATTAAAGCGTCTGCCTTCGGCTCAGGTCACGATCCCAGGGTCCTGGGATCGGGCCCCACATTGGGCTCCCTGCTCCGCGGGAAGCCTGCTTCTCCCTCTGCCGCTCCTCCTGCTTGTGTTCCCTCTCTCGCTGTCTCTCTCTCTGTCAAATAAATAAAATCTAAAAAAAAAAAATAAAAACCCTCAATGAAAAGATATTTGGCCAGTAAGCACATGCTCAACATTATTGGACAGGAGGGCCTGAGATACTACTTCACACCCACTGAAATAGTTAAGAAGATTAGTAATAGTCTGACATTAGCAAGAGTAAAAGCAACTAGAACTCTCATACTCTGCTGGTAGGGATATAAAATTGTGCTGTGGAAGAGTTCAGCAAGGTTTTTTTAACAGCTTTATTGAGGTTTGTCAGGTTTTTATGAAGTTATGTATACACCCAGCGTAGTACCCAGCAATTCCACTTCTAGGTATATAAACAAGAAAAATGAAAACACGTTCACAAAGCACTGTGTTCAAGAATGTTCATAGCAGTGCTATGTGTAGTAGCTCAAAACTAGAAATAATCCAAATGTCCATCAACAGGTGACTAAATATGAATTGTGGTAAACTCATTTAATGGAATACTACTTGTCAACAAAAAGGAGGGTACTCAACTCAACAATGAATCTCCAAAACCTATTGAGCTAGAAAGATCCAAAAGATGGAAAAGAATACGTATTATGTAATTCCATTAATACAAAGTTCTAAAACAGGCGTAACTAAGCTGTGGTGGCAGAAATCATCCCTCCATAGGGGGAGGGAAGAGACATCAGAGAACATTCATCTGTTTGAGAAGCGGAAGAATAGGAAACTTCGAGGGGTGATGCAAGTTCTCTCTCTTGATTTGGATGGTAGTTACACTGGAGTAAACATTTGTCAAAATTAATCCTAGTATACTTAAAATCAGTGTGTTTTCTGTATAAATTATCCCTCAGTAAGTAGATTCTTTTCAAAAGTCTTCAGTGGTTTGCTTTTGCATTCAAACTCCTTTTGGCCTCTAGGGCCCATCATGATCTGGTGCTTGCCCACATCTCCGATCTCATCTTTCCTAACACCTTTCTTCATGCAATCTCAACCACACTGGCCTTCTCTTAGTTCTTATTACATACCAAACTTTTTCACATCTCAGGACCTTTACCTAGAACATTCTCCACTCCTGCTTCTTGTGGCTGACTTCTTTTTATTCATCAGTTACCACCTTCCATGTCCTTCCTCAGAAAAGCCTTAGCTGTCGACTTGCTTAATGTCTGTTTCCCTCACTGTGGTATAGACTCCATGAGGACAGGAGACCTTGTTTCTCTTGTCGGACATTGCGTGTCCCCAGAACTTAGCACCATGCATGATAAATTTTGATTATTTGAATACACAATAGCAGTTGGCTGTTTGGGTCTAGACAACTTGGGATTCGGGTCCATGCGCTTTTGTTCTTATTTTGTCACCAATCTTCTGATAAAATTCTTTAACCTCTATTTCCTAGTTATCTACGTCAAAGACACATTATAAAAATCAGCAGGACTGGGGCTCCTGGCTGGCTCAGTCAGTGGAGCATGTGACTCTTGATCTCAGGGTCGTGAGTTTGAGCCCTACATTGGGTGTAGAGCTTACTGAAAAAAAAAAAAAAAAATCAGCAGGACTAATCAGTGAAACATATTAGAAGCTGTCTTATTGTTTGGTGCCAAATGATAATGGGCATCAGAATAATTCTTTTGAAGTCTAAAATAATTTTATATATAATCTACACATATGTACATACACTTTGTATATATAGTTTTTAAATCTAAAATAGTTTTATAAGTAAGATTTTTATCTCTAGTAATTCTGAGGTAAACAAGATAATCACCACCCTCCTCATTATGCAGATGAAAAAGAAAGAGAAAATTAGTTACAGAAAATTTAAACGAGTTGTCCAGGAGCCTGAAGTAGGAAATCCAATAAAAATGAAGTTTTGATATAGGTCATTCTTGTTCCAAAAAAGCTATTTCTCAATTTTGCATTCAGTTTGTGGTATGTGTGTTTTGTTTACAGTTCCTGGTGATAAACAAAATAAAGTCAAACAGAAAGCATTTGTGGAGCCGTATTTTAAAGATGATGAAAAGTAAGTTGGTCTTGATTAATACCAGTGATGTGATTGGAAGTACAACAGAGTCATCTTTGTCAGAATACCTCTGAACTGTTAAATTGCTACTTTGGTTAAAGTCAAGTTCATATCATTTACCTTATGGTCTTAACAAAAAAGAGGGACTCAAGCATAAAAAGGACAAATACTACAAATAAGGAGATTTATATTACCACTACTTTTTTTGACAGTGGTAATAGTTATTTTCTCTCTTTTTTATAACAAATGTTTTTATTCCTGTTCTGTTTTATTAGGGACTTTATTTGAACTTCAGGAATTTGTTATATTATATACTGTAACTGTTATATAGTATAAGACTTTAGGTGGCAAGCGTTAGGTTGTGCTTGAGAATTACTGCATGAGGATTTTTAAACCTTAAAAGAAAAACTGAGCATCTTGATTTTGAACCATAATGCTGCTTTGTGCCTTTTATTCAAAGATGGCAAATTCTTTTTTCTTTTTTTTTAAGATTTTATTTATTTGAGAGAGAGAGAGAGCACAAGCAGGGGGAGGGGCAGAGGAAGAGGGAGAAGCAGCCTCCCTATTGAGCGGGGAACCCAACGTGGGGCTCAATCCCAGGACCCTGAGATCATGACCTGAGCTGAAGTCGGGTGCTTAACTGACTGAGCTGCCCAGGCTTCCCCAAAGATGGCAAATTCTATAACTTTTAATCATGTACTATTCATTCTAGAAGTGAATTTAAGCATAGTAATTCAATTCAAAAAACTTTTTTGTTTTTTTTTTCTTCAAGTTATGATGTTAGCAAATGGAGTCACTCAATAAGCAAAGTTTATTTTATGCTTATTTCTGTTGAGAATTTTAGGGATCTGACAGGCCAAGACATTTTTATTGATGCTGTAAGACTCTAATAGATAAGAGCTGTTGTTTTGTTGCTAAATGCTTAATTCTTTTCCTTTATTTACCAGTTCTCCAAATAAATAGTACGCTAGCATCCCAAATGTGACTAGGGAGTTTTTATTTGTGGTGTCATTACGAACTCATGGATTTAAATGTTTCATGTGTTTTAGTCAAACCACCAGGTTGCTCATTGCCATAGTTATTATTTCTGGATCTTTTAGGTGGACAGAGTTAGGAATAAGGTTTTTGTTTTATTTTGTTTTTTGAGATAACTACACTTTTTCATATTGATAGCTCCAATTCAAGTTCAGAACTACAGGATTTTTGGGGTGCCTGGGTGGCTCAGTCATTAAGCGTCTGCCTTTGGCTCAGGTCATGGTCCCAGGGTCTTGGGATCAAGCCCCGCATTGGGCTCCCTGCTCAGCGGGAGGCCTGCTTCTCCCTCTCCCTCTCCCCCTGCTTGTGTTCCCTCTCTCGCGGTCTCTCTCTGTCAGATAGATGAATAAAATCTTAAAAAAAAAAAAAAAAAAAAAACTACAGGATTTTTACGTAACAACCTCTTCTGTCTCTTATCTGTACCTACTTTCCCCCTACTGAGAATCCCATTTCTCAGTGCTACCAACATAATTTCTCATTTAACTTTATTCTTTAATATTTAGAGCAGTCTCAGAATAATCTAAATTATCACCAATAATATGATTTATGAAAATGATTTAAGATGTCTTTGTGGGCTTTTTGTTCTTAAGATATATTCTATTAGAACAGCCATGTTATCTGCATCTTTTTTTTTTTTTTTTTAAGATTTTATTTATTTGACAGAGAGAGACATAGCGAGAGAGGGAACACAAGTGGTGTTGGGGGAGAGAGAGGGAGAAGCAGACTTCCCGCCGAGCAGGGAGCCCGATGCGGGGCTCAATCCCAGGACCCTGGGCTCATGACCTGAGCCGAAGGCAGACGCTTAACAACTGAGCCACCCAAGTTCCCCTGCATCTTTTCATAAAATAAAAATTCTAAAAGTGAAAAGAAAAGGTGTATCTATTTATAATAATAAATGTACAGTCCAGTCACTGTGTTTTAAAGCCATTTGGAATAATTATTTTTTGGGCAGGTATGCAACTGACTCAGTCCCTAGGTTTGTTTTATTTTGCTTTTGAATTTTGTAGTTGTTTTTTTATCTTTAATTTTTTTAATTATGTAAAATATGTACATGGTATCAGAGGCTACAAAATAAGGTATATTCAGAGGTGTCTAGTTTCCATCATTGTCCCCTTTACCCTATTAGCTCCCTACCCCTAAAGGTTTGTTAAAAAATACGGTTTTCAATCCATTTTAAAAAATAAAAGCTGATATCGATACAGAAATATATTGTCATTCTCTCTCCCCTTAAACAAATGGTAGAATGCTATATATATACTTTCTGTTTTGCTTTTGCTTTTTTCATTTAAGTATATATCCTGGAAAATCGCTCGTAATAGCATATAGTGGTATTCCGCATTTCCCTTCTTAGTTGTACAGTACTTTATTGTTTGTACCATAGTTCATTCCTTAGTAATGAGTATTTGGGGTGTTTACAGTTATGCTAACACAGAATGCTGCGGTGAATAACGTTGTACATTTCTTTTCATATTGTTGTGTATCTTTGGGATAGATTCCTTGAAGTAGGATTGCAGAGTAAGAACTGTCATTTCAAATGTTTCATATTGAAAGTTCACTCGCTTTTTAAAAATGTGAGTAGTTTTATTTATTCTGAAACCATTAGATAGCTGGAGACACAAGAGGTGGATATAAGACATGAGGACAGTAAAAGTCTTAAAATTAGCATTGTTCCTTTCCCCACAGACAATACTAGCAAACCCTGGGAAGATGGGTTGTGTTGTATGAGGGACAAGAAGCTTAGTCATCTCTCAGGTGATGCTTTAAGGTCTAGTACAGTTGCCAGTCTGCTAGGAAATTCATTGCAGCATTAGAACAATAGTAGCAGAATAAATAATACTCAAGAGGAAAGGATACGGCCAAAATGTATTCTGTATAAGCTTTTAAGAGTCCATAAACCATTTGAAAGAAAGCCATTTTTATCTGTCCTTTTAACTTACAGATTGCTCTAAAGTTGAGAGTTCTTGGGCTTAAGCCCCCACAGGACCTATAACCTCATATACTTTGACATAGAGCAGTTAAAGCTTCCTTTTGAGAGAAAGTGCTTGCCAACTAGAGGGGCATGTGATCAGAATGCCTCAGAGGAGTAGATATGTTACCAAGTCGTTTTACAAATCAGTTTTTGTGAGTCAGGCTCTTGAAGCTCTCTGGGGATGTTTCTATTATAAACAAATATGTATACCATCACTTAAGTCTTCATTTACCTATTTGTTTGGACTTTTCTATATTGAGCTTTAAAACTTAAAGCAGGATACAGTATATTAAAAAGTTCTGTACTTCCTGCTTGCTTTTGCTTCCCAAAGCACTCTACATCTCATTAATCCGTACCTCAGTGGCTTTGACCGTCCTAGGTTTCCAGTAGTTCTCAGTAGGATCTGATCCATTTAAGGACAAGCGCAAATAATTGTTCCTGACATTTTAAAGAATTCAGGGTGAGTGGAGGCAGCAAAAAAAATTTTTAGAGAAAATGACTCATGACGTACAAACAGAAGAATCTCTTTTTTGAGGAGGGGAGTAGGTTAGCCCAGAAATACAGGTTCTTAAAGAAAACTGAGTTAATAGGCAGTTACTCTCTTTCTTGGTTATGTTATAGAATACCAATTCCTGACTTTAATAATACAATATTTCTTTTTAAATTAGGTTATTTTAGGGGCACCTGGATGACCGTCAGTTAAGCATCTGACTCTTGATTTCAGCTCAGGTCATGATCTCAGGGTTGTGAGATCGAGCCCCACTTGGAGCCTGCTTGGGATTTTCTCTCTCCCTCTCCCTCTGCCTCTCCCCCCACTCACTCACTCTCTCTTTCTCTCTAAATAAATACATAAAATATTTAAATAGTAATAAATTAGGTTATTTTATATATTATTTTCAGCCAATCAGAGGCAAAAATAGGAAGTAATAGTTATCTTTTTCAGTTAGAGAACAATATACATAAAAATACCTGACATACAGTAAGCACCTAATAAGTATTTAATGAAGAATGCATGAAAAAATATGTTTTTCTGACATAGTAAACATTTCAAATAAAATGAATGTTTTGGGATTATTTCTCCTCTGGGCCCTCACCTTCATTAATTAAAAATCTAAACCAAAGATCTTTGTAGGAACAAATGGATTAATTTTTAAATTTAATTCATTTTTCTTACAGAGAGACTAGCTTACAGAATTTTCCTCATATTGAGGTAGTTCGGAAAAAAGAAGAGAGAAGAAAATTGCTTGGACACACATGTAAGGAATGTGAAATTGTAAGTATAAATGTGAATACTGTTCAGTGGGTTTTTTAAAATACGGCTTTCTAGATTAGAAATGCATGATTTAAAAATCATAGATAGAGACCATATTTGTATCTAGAAACCTCGTTTGAGCCAGGAATAGCAGGATGGATAATTAAAGAGCACACTGGCTGTGATTTCGGGGATCTCAATACTTGGAAATGAAAGCCCTCAACCTCTCAGATTTTCATTAAGTGAATCTGGAACCTAAGCCCTCGTTCTTTTTACCAGCTTAAGATATCTGTGCCATTTTTCTTTTCTGTGTTTATTTGTATTTGTTTTAATTTCTTTCCCCTGGTGTTATATTACAGCAAAGGCCCTTCCTTATTCGTATACTATTTGGGGAAAATTCTGATACTTTAGTAGGAAACTTTAATGTTTATTACTTATCCCAGCACTCTCAGGAAATGACATATATTCATAATTGTTTTTTTCTAAGTAACTGGTATAACCATAATTTCTTAACTTTTCCCCCAAACACTCCTTCCTAAACACAATGTGATGAGCAGGCTCTATGTAATCCTTAGAACACAATTATATTTTCCTTTTATACATTGGCTATCTTGGACTAGTGAAGCAGAAGTAGTACTAACCATCCACTCACTAAATATCTCAGGCAGGTTCTGTGTTTTCTTTCTTTTTTTTTTTTTTTTTTTAAAGATTTTATTTATTTATTTGAGAGAGAGAGAATGAGAGACAGAGAGCACAAGCGGGAAGAGGGTCAGAGGGAGAAGCAGACCCCCCGCTGAGCAGGGAGCCCGATGTGGGACTCGATCCTGGGACTCCAGGATCATGACCTGAGCTGAAGGCAGACGCTTAACCAACTGAGCCACCCAGGCGCCCAGGTTCTGTGTTTTCTTGAAACATGTTTTTTTCATTTCTTCCCTTGCTGTCTGTTAACTGTTAGATGCCTGCCTCTAGTGATTTAGTTCCCTTTTAAATTTTCTTTTTAACAGCTGTGGGCTAGAAAATTTGATAACCAAGCAGATTAAAGTTATTTATGGATAGCTTGTAGTGCAGGTAAGCATTTGGTGAGAAATAGGCTCTAACTACCAGTGGGAGTGTAAATAGAGATCGCAATTTTGGAAAGCAATTTGGCAGTACAAGCAAAATCTGTATCATGAGTTTTCATAACACAAATTGAACATATCATGATTTCTTAACTAAAGAACATGGTCAAGCCTCCAGTTTTTAGTTAAGACCATAATTCTTTACAATCTGGAACTAACACTACCAGTTAGAAAAAAGCTCTTGTGCTAGAAGCACTGTTAATTTGCTTTCCTTCTCTCAGGAATCATTTCCTATGCTGTTTGTTATTCAGTCTCTAAAAACTGTTGTCTCGGGTGCCTGGGTGGCTCAGTAGGTTAAGCGTCTGCTTTTAGCTCACGTCATGATCCCGGGGTCCTGGGATCGAGCCCCACATCAGCCTCTGTACTCAGTGGGGAGCCTGCTTCTCCCTCTCACTCTCTCTCTGTGCTCCCCCCCAAAATAAATAAAATCTTTAAAACTAAATAAATAAAAAACATTATCTCGGTACATTTTATTCCAATATTTTTGTTAAGATAGGAGATAAATCTGTTCCCTGTTAACTCTCCCATGACCAGGAGCAAAAGTGCCAGTCCTATGTATTTAAATACTCTTTGTATGCTTACAGTTCTTAAATGTATCCCAGTGTCTTCCACCTGTGGAATATGTAGTACACATGCGGAAGTGTAATAATCATCTCAAATTTCACCATGTCCAAAAGCAAACAGAGTTTCTACCGCTGATTCCCAAACCTCACCTGAGTCTCCTCTATGTCCATTCTTCTGGCTGTTTAAACCAAAGCTCTTATAGTTATCCTCTCTTCTTTCACATCTCAGTAACAGATCTATCAGCAAATCCCATCAGTTCTTCCTTCAAAGTGTATCCCATTTCTATCCACTTGATACCACCACCACTAAACCCCTGGACCAAGGCACCATTTCATCTTGTCTGGACTATTGAAATAACTTGCTTCTAAGTGCTTTCCTTCTGTTGTTTTATTTTAATCAACTGTTTTTAGAAAAGCTGTGTTAAGAATTCCCATACACCTCTGTCCTCACTTTTCTTGTTTATACCTGTCTCTTCACAGTGTATGTTCTTTGTTTCTAAAGCAAGGTATTTCTGAGATGTTAATGGTTTTTATTGCCCCCAGTGGGGAAATTGGGATTAAAGGTCTACTAAGTGCTTAAGTTCCTGGCCTCCCTGCCAGAGGGGAGAGGGAGTCAGGGATGCGGGGTGTCAAGGGACAGGACAGGGCCTGAGAGCAGGTAGCAGCACAGGATGGCTTGGATAGGAGGGACATCTACTTGGTATCTGTCTTCACCATGTGTTTCAACACAATGAAGGATCTTTTGTTTCCTGATGATCTTTTTAGAATAAAAGTTAAATCATGTCATTTCTCTGCCCGAAACCCTTAAATGTCTGACCATCTGACTCAGAAATAGAACCCAAAGTCCTTATCGAGGACAGCAAACGCTAGCACCCCACTTCCTCTCTGATTTTATCTTCTACCACTCTCCCAGTTGTTCACTGTGTCACAGCTACACCAACCCACTGTTGCTTTTGTATATGTTGTAATTTGGTGGCAGTGTTTCTCTAAATTGATAGATAACTGTTATTCTCTAGTAAGGGTCATCCCATCCCATGTCCAGGCCACGGTAACAAAGGCTTGTATTCACAGCAATGAGAAAGATGAAAAAGATAACCCCCAAAAAAGTTGTTTCAGAGGTACTCAAAAAACCTTTCCTTCAAACTTAAGTTTTAGCCCTTAGTGTGCCACTTTCAATAGAAGATACCGTCAGTAAATTATCAATTTGGTTTTCAGTTTCTCAAGTTTGAGGTGGAATTGGCTGGATTGTGTGATCCTGTCGCATGTTCTATTAAACTTCACACTGCTGCTTTGTTTTCTTAGGTCTAGAGCTTGAAGGACCTGTACATTTTTTACATATAAATTTTAACCTTGTTTTTATGAAGTTCAAGTTCTTTGGGTTGCAGTTGCAAGAAATTATGTCTTTGATCATAATTGAAAAATATGGTTTAAAGGGGGAAGTCATAAAGCCTGCAACATTCAAAGCTAAACTTTAATTTGTAAAAACTTGGATAAGAAAATTACTTCAGGGGTGCCTGGGTGGCTCAGTTGGTTAAGCAACTGCCTTCGGCTCAGGTCATGATCCTGGAGTCCCAGGATCGAGTCCCGCATCGGGCTCCCTGCTCGGCAGGGAGCCGGCTTCTGCCTCTGACCCTCCCCCCTCTCATGCTCTCTCTCTCTCATTCTCTCTCTCAAATAAATAAATAAAATCTTAAAAAAAAAAAAAGAAAGAAAATTACTTCAAAACACACATCTTATATCCAAATAACAACTGACAAAAGTGCTGTTCCAAGTACAGTTTTGTTACTGGTCTGACAGTTGAGTTTGCGCCGGTAGATAAATTAACTGCATCACTCAGCACACTATAAAGCTAAGCTGGCATTTTTTGTTTTTGTTTTTGTATTGTAAGACTTTATTGATGAGAAAAGCAGCATATTGGTTTGCATTGTGATACAAGCTGCAAGCTCCTTTTCTCATTTGTGGAGGAAACATTTCACAGACCAGCACTAGTTACTGTTAGTATTAATTACTAATATTATCTTCAGTGAGTGTTGTTTTCCTTAACATGCCGAATACTTTAACAGCTTTCTTATAGCTTCTAGTTTATAATCAATAAGCCTAACAGTCCATTTATTATTTCTAAGTGAAAAACTTACCAGTTTTTATTATTAGTATTATGCAGATATTCCAGCAGAAGAAAGAGAAAAGAAATTGGCTTCCTGCTCGAGACATCGATTCCGCTATATTCCACCCAACACACCAGAGAATTTCTGGGAAGTTGGTTTTCCTTCCACTCAGACGTGTATGGAAAGAGGTGAGAGTACAGATTATAACATTTTGGAATTTTTTTTTTTTTTAAATACTGTATATACTCAAATCTAACCATTAGACTTTTCCCCCATGGTTCCTCTTACCTTCTCCTCAGGGGCTAGTTCAGTGACATAAAAGCAAATTCCTAAAGATAAAAGGCTCACCTTTAACTCTGAATAATGTCATTGAAATCAGAGATTGTGTATAATCACTTTAATATGATTGTGTATTCATTATCCTCGTTTATCATTCAAATTTCAGAAAGTTAATTTCTCTTATCCTGTCAAAAAAATGACTTTTTTTTTTTTTTTTTAAGATTTTATTTATTTATTTGAGACAGAGAGAATGAGAGACAGAGAGCATGAGAGGGAGGAGGGTCAGAGGGAGAAGCAGACTCCCTGCCGAGCAGGGAGCCCGATGCGGGACTCGATCCCGAGACTCCAGGATCATGACCTGAGCCGAAGGCAGTCGCTTAACCAACTGAGCCACCCAGGCGCCCAACAAAATGACTTTTAATAAAATAATAACATTATAAAAGTTGCCAGCAAAGTTATATTGTTAAAAAGAGAGCATCTTTTTAAAGCAACTAGTCTGAATTTTAGCTTTTAAAACCTCACTTATCCAGAATGCTGGGTATTTATAAATCACATCTGAGTAGAAAGAACCTTTGTTTGGAGGACCGTTGGCAACTAGCTCCTTCAAATATGGCACTGACATTTAATATGATTTGAGAATGTATACAGCTTTGAAGCTCCAGATATTGAGTAGTAAGATGGTTTTTCCAAAAGATGCAAAGTCTCTTGTAGCTATTACCATATTTTCACTTTCCCCATTAACAAACCAAATTACATTCCCTTTGACATGATGACACTGCCTGGTCATCAAATAGAATTAAACAATCTGCATAGAGCCTGTGTTTGTACACCTACCGTGGCCTGCAGGGGATATGGCCGAGTGCAAAGCACATGATTCAAGATGCCTTAGGAGAATCGGATGATTGAAGAGTATAGGGGCACGGGACGCCTGGGTGGCTCAGTCGTTTAAAGATATAGCTGCCGGAGCGCCTGGGTGGCTCAGTCGTTTAAAGAAGTAGCTGCCGGAGCGCCTGGGTGGCTCAGTCGTTTAAAGAAGTAGCTGCCAGAGCGCCTGGGTGGCTCAGTCGTTTAAAGAAGTAGCTGCCCGAGCGCCTGGGTGGCTCAGTCGTTAAGCGTCTGCCTTCGGCTCGGGTCATGGTCCCAGGGTCCTGGGATCGAGCCCCGCATCGGGCTCCCTGCTCAGCGGGAAGCCTGCTTCTCCCTCTGCCACTCCCCCTGCTTGTGTTCGCTCTCGCTATCTCTCTCTCTGTCAAATAAATAAATAAAATATTTAAAAAAAAAAAAGTAGCTGCCACAGAAAGTCTTTTTGATAAGCACGTGGAATTATAATAGTGAAGAGTTCTTTTTTGTCCCCATGTGCAATCTGGAGGAGGCAGACTAGGAAAGTACTTAAGAGCTCTGGTTCTGGAGGTTAGATGGACCTTGGGCAAAGTCCCAGCTCTTCCACTTCCGTAGCTTTGTGAACTTGAGCAAGTTCTTTAACTTCCTTGGGTCTCCGTAACCTCATCTCTGAAGGAGGTATAGTAGAAGCTACTTCAAAGGAATGTGAGCATTAGCTGAGATAATGTATACAACACATTTGATAAATGTTTGCTGCTATCATTGTTAGTATAAATGAGGAAACTGATGCTAAGTAGTGAAAACTTTAACATTGCACAGCTAATAAGCAGAGGATCATGTAAACTAGAATACGTTAAATGAGACAGATGTTACCTGGTACATGCTGAAAGAAATACATGTTGCAAATACAGTCTTCTAAATTTGTCATTTGTTTTTAAGGTTACATTAAGGAAGATCTTGATCCTTGTCCTCGTCCCAAAAGACGGCAGCCTTACAATGCAATGTTTTCTCCAAAAAGCAAAGAGCAGAAGACATAGATGTTGAAGCAAAAACAGGATAGAAGACAGTTTGTTTCATTCTTAGTTATTTATAGTTAAAGTTGGTATTAAACATTGATTTTTTTGATCTTCTGTAAACTGACTTATAAATCATTTTTCTATTGAAAGTGTTTTTAAATGGCATTTACCCACCACACAACAACTATTTAAAATGTGGATATGCTTATGTTGTATTATCTTGCTTATGCACCTTTAAAACAATAAGGTGCTTTCATTTTGCACTCTAACTTAAGAGCTATTTACTTTATTCGGTAATACCTAATTACAATTTTGAAAATACGATAGTTGTAGTCTGTGATTTGTTGCCTTTCCTATCTTTTCTTTTTACTCGACCTTCCCGTGGTATTTACATTCAGCAGTGGCTTTGTGTTAATCACTACAAATTTTCATTCTCTTAATCAGTTGCTCTTCTATGGGTCATTCCAGTGTCTGACATTTAAGTCTTTAAAAAAAAAAAAGGCTAAATTTTAATAGTCCTTTTAGCTTTCCAGCTTCTTTCTTTTGTTTACTTGAAATGAGCTACTGTTCTGTGGTGCATTCCTTTGGAGCCTCAACAACAAATATCAACCTTTCTTCCTTTTTCATACATTATAAATTAACATAGTTCTCTGATCTGATCATAATATTCCAAGTCTTCACATGGTCTCTTTTCATTATACTTTTCTGGTGCAGTTTTCCAGCTGAATTGGTCAAGTTCTTCTCTGCCCATGTGTTCAAGTTCAGTAATATCATTTCTCTGGAATGACTGATATTTTAACTTCCAGTCTGGCAACAAAACAGATTTCTCTATTCAGCAGATTTCTGTTCCTCTAGGACCTAGTGTCTGAGTCATCAAGATGACAGACCACATCTGTGTCACCATTTCCGGTGGCATTTTGTTTATCAGTGTCTTTTTTGAGTATTTCTTTAATCCATATCTTGACAGTATTGCTTAAGCAGGAGAACATCAGGCACTGAATGGAATGCCTCACTAAAATCTCACCATTTACATAAAGCCCTTCTCAGAGTTCCTAAGAATCTCTGCTTAGTCTCATCTTCATTGATCAAGGTTCTCATATGAATAAATGACATCAATTTGTGTTCTCACAGAGAGGATCACAAAAAAATTAACATATACTGAGTATCTACTGTACATCAGACCCCTTATGAGCATGCATGGCTTGGCTCTGAATGTGATCTGAATTTTTTACAACCCTATCATAGCTTCTATTCAGCACTTTTCTTCACTTCCCAAATTGTTTATCCTATGTTTGATTTTTGTTCCCTGTTGGCAGTCAACCAATCTCTCCAAAATAATAGCAACCATTCAGTGGTAACTTGCTATATGCCAGGAACTGTATTACACTCTTTACATAGATTTTTCTCTTTTAATCCTTGAATAATCTTGTGAATTCATGTTTCAGCTTAACATTAAGCTGCAAAAAATGGACCCAAAAAACAGATTAAACAACAAATGACTGGTTTTATTTTTCTCACATTAAAAAGTCTGGAGGTCAGCAGTTCAAGGCTAGTAATGCAGCCCCATGATGCCCTCATAGACCCAGATTCTTCCAACGTTCTGCTCTTCCATACTTTGTATGTGGCCTTCATCCTTGTCACTATAAAGCAGTTATGCCACCTGTCATGTCCATGTTTTAGACAGAAGGAAAGAAAAAAAAAAGCATATGTCATTTGTTTTTGTCCCTCTTTAAAAAGTTTTCCACTTTGGGGAGGCTGGGTAGCTCAGTCATTAAGCATCTGCCTTTGGCTCAGGTCGTGATCCTAGGGTCCTGGGATCAAGCCTCGCATCAGGCTCCCTGCTCAGTGGGAAGTCTGCTTCTCCCTCTCCTACTCCCCCTGCTTGTGTTCCCTCTCTTGCTGTCTCTCTCTCTCTCTCTCTGTCAAATAAGTAAATAAATCTTTTTTTAAAAATTAAAAATAATAATAAAAAGTTTTCCACTTTAAATAAATAAATAAACTTGGGGGCAGGGGCCTTGGCCAAGCCTGGCTGGCTCAGTTGGAAGAGCATGCAACTCTTGATCTCAGGGTAGTGAGTTTGAGCCCCACATTGGGTGTAGAGATTTATCACTTAAATAAACTTGAAAAGTTTTCCAGAAAGGGACACCTGGGTGGCTCAGTTAAGCATCTGCCTTCGCCTCAGGTCATGATCCCAGGGTTCTGGGACTGAGTCCTGCATTGGGCTCCTTGCTCAGTGGGGAGCCTGCTTCTCCCTCTGCCTGCCACTCCCCCTGCTTGTGCTCTCTCTCTCTGTCAAATAAATAAAATCTTTTTTAAAAAAAAGTTTTCCAGAAGGCTCCACCCAATAACTTTCCCTGTTTCTCAATGGCCAGAATTGTCACTTGGCTGCCTCTAATAACTAAGAGATGAAATTAGAGCCCAGGATTGCCTAATTCCAGAACCAGAGCTTGTATCCACTATAGTATAGTGGCCAGGAGTCTGAGAGACACCTGGATTGGAACAGGGCACCATAGGATGTGCATTTAGAGCTCTATACCTCCAATGGATTTTCCTTTTTAAAAGGAAACCTAAGGGGTGCTTCCATGGCCCAGTCAGTTGAGTGACCGACTCTTGGTTTCTGCTCAGGTCATGATCTCAGGGTCCTGGGTTTGAGTCCTGGGTGAGGCTCCACGCTCAGCATGGAGTCTGCTTGAAAGATTCTCTCCCTCTGCCCCTCCCCACTGCATTTGCTCACACACTTTCTCCCTCTCTATTTCAAATAAATAAATCTTGAAAAAATAATAAATATGAAAGAATAACAGGCAGCCTAAACAGACAGGAAGCAAGAGATTGCCTGCCTCGTAGCTTGACAATAATCTAACCAGTTGTAACTAGCATTTTTCATTTTCTCTTCAGTCAGCCTGTGAGGTTGGGTAAACTGAGGTCCCTCTTCCCTTTTTTTTTTCCCTCTCCCCTCTTATCTGTTATTGATCAGCTCTACATTAATTTTTTTAATTTTTTTTTAAAGATTTTATTTATTCATTTGACAGAGAGAGACACAGCGAGAGCGGGAACACAAGCAGGGGGAGTGGGAGAGGGAGAAGCAGGCTTCCTGCTGAGCAGGGAGCCCGACGTGGGGCTTGATCCCAGGACCCTGGGATCATGACCTGAGCCGAAGGCAGACGCTTAACGACTGAGCCACCCAGGCGCCCCTACATTAATATTTTTTAATATTTTTTATTTATTTGTACTGAAAAACTGCAAAGATTCTTCCTCAGATTGTCTTCAATTCTTAATTCAGTTACAAAAAAGGAATAGTTTAACATAAACCAAATAGCACTAATACATTTATTTAACAAACATTTATCTTTACCAGGCACAATACTAAGTGCAGTATCAGAATCAGGCAAAATTTTACAAATTCCCTCTAAAGAAGCAAGCTTTTAAAGAAACCTACACCTAAAAATCTTACTCTGTTAATCCTGACATAATAACATAACAGCATGGGATTTAATTTTTAAAAATACCACTTCAGAAATGAGCATTTGAGGGCGCCTGGGTGGCTCAGTCGTTAAGTGTCTGCCTTCGGCTCAGGTCATGATCCCAGGGTCCTGGGATCGAGCCCCACATCGGGCTCCCTGTTTGGCGGGAGGCCTGCTTCTCCCTCTCCCACTCCCCCTGCTTGTGTTCCTACTCTCGCTATGTCTCTCTCTGTCAAATAAATAAATAAAAAATCTTTAAAAAAAGAAATGAGCATTTGAAACACATGTCAAATTTTACCATCCAGCTGTCTGTTCTCAGCAAGCTTGGCAGTTTAAGAGACATCTCAAAATCTTTCTCTTTGCTGAGTTGATGCTGTTAGAATGGTTGCCTACGAAACTCCAGTGTGCTTACACCTGCTATCTTGAGCACGCACTTAAAGAATTAACAAAACCGTTCTCTGCTGTTGTCAGACCAGCAGAGGCCAGAAGAGAGCTGTTTTTAGAGAATACTGCCTGGGAAGTAGGGGATGAATAGGAAGGACTCTGATAAAAAAAAGTTTCTAGGATGAATAGGATATGAATCGGGAAACTTTGGTATAGTAAGGAAGGCTCAGTGGGTAAAAATGAGCTTTCAACACAGCTATTGTTGGAATAAGACAAATGGCAGAGGCAGTAATTCATGGTCTTAAAAAAAATATCAAACTTGGGGCGCCTGGGTGGCTCAGTCGTTAAGCGTCTGCCTTCGGCACAGGTCATGATCCCAGGGTCCTGGAATCGAGTCCCATATCGGGCTCCCTGCTCCACGGGAAGCCTGCTTCTCCCTCTCCCACTCCCCCTGCTTGCGTTCCCTCTCTCGCTGTCTCTCTGTCAGATAAATAAATAAAATCTTTAAAAAAATAAAATAAAAAACTAATATACATCAGAATCACCTGAAAGGCTGTTACACCACAACTTTGGGCCCCACTCAAAGAAGGGAGGGGCCCAAAACTCAGATTTTCATGTGCTCCCAGGTGATGCTAATGCTGCTGGTACAAGGACCACAAGTACCTAATCATAGGTAGGATGCTTGATAAATAGAGATTCTTAGGTTCTTCCTGTGGGGATTTTGATTCAGGGGTAGCCTGAGGATTTATAAGCTTAAAAAGTTCCACAGGCACCAGGATGGTTCAGTCGGTCTCAGCTCAGGTCATGATCTTAGGATTGTGAGATCCAGCCCTGTATCGGGCTCCGAGCTTAGAGAGGAGTATGCTTGAGATTCTCTCCCTCTGCCCGTCCCCCCCCCACACGTGCTCTTGTGTGTGTGCGCTCTAAAATATATAAATCAATAAAATCTTTAAAAAAATAAAAAGTTCCAGATCATTAAGATGAGGCAAATCTAAGAAATTTTGCTTAGAACAACAGGGAAAATTAAGTAGAAAAATTTTAAGCTTCCAGCATCCCCTTGACTAAAAATATTTGAGCTAGGTAGTAGTGCATTAATTTAGGTAGAATTATCAGGTTAGCAATATATGTAAGATGATTTTGGGGGGCAGGGGTAGTCAGGTATCAGAGTCAAGTGTACAAGAAAAAAATTAAGTAATCTGTTATAATATTCTAAGCACAAAGAGCAGCTAGGCCAAGATGATGGCAATAGGAATGGGGGGAAAAATTTAAGCAACCACTTCATGGCTGTTACATACCAGAACTGTGGCAGCTGAGGATACAAAGATGAATATGATGCCTATCACCAACTCAGTGGTTATAAGGGACATTATGAAGTAAGAATCAATTGGATGAAGTCCCTCACTGGAAATGAGAAGAGACCCTTATTCCACATATTTATAATTGTAAAACTTTAAAAAACAGGGATGAATTCATCCAT